GGGAGGGAGAGGAGGAGGAGGAGGAAGAGGAGGAGGAGCAGGAGCAGGAGCAGGAGCAGGAGCAGGAGCAGGAGCAGGAGCAGGAAGAGGAGGAGGAAGAAAGGGAGGAGGAGGAGGAAGAAAGGGAGGAGGAGGAGGAGGAGGAGGAGGAGAGAGCACTGATGCCGCTGCCCCCAAAGGGTGTCCTGCTGGAGGCGGCTGCGTCTACTGCAGCTGGACGCCTCAGGGTTTTGCACCCTTGCCTTGCAGCCTTGTTACATGCCTCGTATTCTCATGACGTGCCGCGGCGGTGTGGTCGCCGTCCTCCCCGAAGGTGCCTCTCCTCAGATCCCCCCTGGCGAGGCGCCCCGCGCTGGACTGCTGCTGAGGTTCGGGGCACACCGAGGAGGAGGGCAATGGCAAGGCTTGGTTTCGCACTTTTGGGCCTCTTGGGAGGCCCTCTCCGCCACGGCTGGGTTCGACTCGAAATCGTGGTCAGAACGCACCCTGGGACAGGTCTCCAGGGTATAGCGCCAAGTCGGGCACGTCCCTCTACAGGAGGAATATTCAAACATGGTTGTTGTTTGTGTACAAAAAACCGTATGAAGGGCGATGATTGATTATTTTTGAGCATTTGGGGAATTAGTTTCTACTACTTTTTATTGCTCGCCCAAAATCCGCCTGTAGGAGGACATGCCCGACCTAAGTGTAGCGGCATCGGCGCTTGGAGCTCGGGCAGGCAAAGAATGGCACAGACCATGCCTCGGAGCTCCGCGCGGACGTCTTGGCTCGGCCTCGGGCCCCCCCTGGCAGCGCCTCCGGCGCCGCCCACGGCGCGCCAGGGCTGGGGCGCGTCGACCGGCGGCGACCCCGCCAGCGGCGTTCAACTTTGAACGCCGCGGGCGACCGAGAATCGTTCGATGTGGAACGATTCGGACGCTTCGGAAGCGGCCGATCGTTCAAGGTTGAGCGATCCCCGCGGTATCAGAAGCCAGCGCCGAAGTCGGCACGACACGGACCTGACGTCGTGGGGGAGCGAGGGCAGCGAGGGCTGCAGAACAAGGGCCCTTTGGGGCCCCCAACGGGGCCCCAAGGGGGGCCCCGAGGGCCTGAAAGAGGGCACCTCTCCTCCCGCCCCAGGGATCGCCCCCCCGCGGAGTTCGCGCCCCACAGGCAGGGGGCCCAGCGCCGAGCCGGGAACTCCGCGTGGGCCTCCGAGCGAAAGCAGGCTCGTGCCGAGGAGGAGGAGGAGGAGGAGGAGGAGGAGGAGGAGGAGGAGGAGGGGGAGAAGGAGGAGGGGGAGGAGGAGGAGGAGGAGGAGGAGGAGAGGGGGAGAAGGAGGAGGGGGAGGAGGAGGAGAGGGAGGAGGAGGAGGAGGAGGAGTTGTCTCGTCTGGCTGCTGCTCTCTGCAGGAGCGGCGGCGAGGTCACCGAGCAGGCGCCGTCGCCCCGCCACGCGGTGAGGATGGAGGGGCTGACGGACGAGGAGGCGGACGCCTTCGCCGGCCTGGTGCTGGGGGGCGCCTCCCCGGGGCCTGGCGCGTCCAGCCTGGAGGTGCCGGCCCAGCTCCGGCGCTTCCTGAGGAGCGGCGGCGGGCGAGGGGGGGGGTAGAGGGAGGAGGAGGAGGAGGAGGAGGAGGAGAGGAGGAGGAGGGAGGAGGAGGAGGAGGAGGGGAGAGTGAGGAGGAGGGGGAGAGTGAGGAGGAGGAGCAGGAGGAGGAGGAGGAGGAGGAGGACTTCGCAGCTCGAAGTTCGAGGTTTTCGGGCCTTTTGTGAGGAGTTCTTGGCGGGCCGCTTTCCGGCCGCGGGGTGCGTTCCGGCGCCGCCGAGCGCGTCGCCTCGGGGTGCCCGGATCGTCCCGAGCGGCCGCTGGAGACCCGAGATATGGCCCCAAAAACCAGATTCGGCGGGGCGCGAGAGGGGGAAGCGAGAAGCAGAAGGCCCTCGCAGAAGGCGGCGGGACTTCACAGACGCCCTCGCGCCTCCTGAGAGGTCCTTCGTGTTGTCCAGGAGGGCTCGGGCAACTTTTCCGAAGTCCCCCAGCCTTCGGAGAAGTTGCCCAAGCCTTCCTGGAAGACATGAACAAGTCTGTGAGGTCCCGCCGCCTTCTGAGAGGGCCCGCCCCTTCTCACTTCCCCCCCCCTTGCTCGCTGCCGACGAGGGACGTTGCGCTCAACATCCCGCGGCACATCGAGGAGGCCCTGCAGCAGCTGCGGAGGGAGGAGGCCATCCGCGTGAGCGGGCAGCGCGTGGAGGTGCTGAAGAACCTGGAGGACCCGCAGGTCATGGCTGGACCCAAGCGCTGTTCTGCCAGACTTCGGCAGGGTTTTTTGCTTTTCGTTTTCGCAGGGAGGTACAGGAAGACAGGCAGGGCAGCACGAACCACAGAACGAGAGCAAAACGGAAAACTCAGGAGGGGAAAAGACACACAGACACAATGGATTGTCGAGTCCCTAGAACATATGGGAAAATAGGGGAAGTGGGGGGAAGACCAAAACCCAGAAAATATTTGAAATATGGGGAATCCTGTAATCTGTGTGTACTAATTTGTGTGTCCCAGGGCCTCTTCAAAAGCAACGTTCAGATCCAGCCCTGCAGGTGGTCAACGTCGCTGGCTGGATGCACACGAGCATGGTGGGGAGCATCGTCTCCCAGGTGGAGATGATGGGCCCAGAGGCCCAGGGCTCCTTTCGGCTCCTTCGCTTCGATTCGATCCGATCTCGATGGCTCCCAAGTTCCGATTCGATTCGACTCGGGATTCCGATTTGGGCTCCGAGTTCATCTTGGAGGCAGACTGGCCTGCCGATTTCCGCCGCTCCGACTTCTCCCGACTCGGCTGCCGATCTCCGCCGATCCGACCCATTGCGATCGGTTCGCTCCGACTTGTCGATTCGATCCTGGGCTCTCCTGGAGGCCCAGCGGGTGATCAAGATGGCGACAGTGTTCGAGTCGCCCTTCTCTGCCTTCGACGTGGCAGTGGCCAACCGCGTGCACCGGCCGAGCTCGGACGTGCTGGCGTTCCAGGACGCGGTGCAGTTGCTGCTGTCCTGCGAGTGGTTGGCGAACCACCCGAAGTTCCTGGTCCGCCACCACGGCGTCATCGAGGACCAGCAGACCGAGAACATGCCCAGGTGCTCGAATACAGTGGGGGCGCGCATCAGGAAACCGTGTGTTTTTCGTCAGGGTATCCTGGGTTTCTTCGCTTCTCGCGCTGCGCGGTGACTTCTCGCAGCCGTTGAAGGAGCTGCTGCGTTCAGGGTTCCTGCACGGGTTCTCAGGGGTGGGTTTCTTGCGAGGGTTTCTTGCGGCCGCGCCCGCATTGTAGAGGATCGACTACAAGATTGGATTACCCCAGAATTGATTCGTCCGTCGAAACCTCCTGAAATCACAACGTGTACTGGTCGTACGTCTACGAACATCCTACGTACTTATGTCGTAGATGCGACGCGGAGGCCAAGTCTGGGGTAAATCAATTATGTAGTCGATCCCCGACTCGAGGTGTCGAAGAACCGAAAACGGCATAAGCATCAATTGTTGGCGGCCCGCGCGGATCTCCACGAGCGTGTGCTTGTGCTGTTTGTTGTTCTTCCGAGGTGGAAGATTGCCAACCAGCTGGTGCGTCGGGTCGTGGGGGCCTCGCTCCTGCGCAGCCAGCGCATCCAGGTGAAGCGCATCGTCCTGATGGCCCGCGCGGTGAACCTGCACCTGCCAAGGCGCATGCGCGAGAAGTGGACCTGGAGCCAGCGCGAGGACCAGGAGGCGAAAAGACGCACAGACACCGGTTTCGTCGGCGGCGAGGCGGAGGCAGTCCGCACCGGCGCGGGGCTGGTCGGGGCAACCGATCGGCACACGGTCCGGCGCGCAAAAAGGAGAGAGGCGAAGCCGGGGGCGGCCGCGCGAAGGGTGGGGGGGGAGGGGAGGGAGAGGCGAAGCTCCGGAGGAGATGCAGGAGAAGCATGGGGGATCTGGGAGGTGTGCTTCGTGCTTCCTTCGTGCCCCTGGTTACCAGCCTCGAACTTATCCCTATCCCTAAGATCGACACGCCAAAAGGCGATGACCTTAAGATTGGCATCGTGATGAGGAGATGCCCAGCATAGGGATAGGGGTATGTTCCAGGCTGGTAACCTGGGCCCCCTTGCGAGGAGCTGTACGGGAAGCCCTCCAAGGCCGAGCGGCTGCGCCAGCAGCGCCGCCGCGAGGCCGAGCCGGCGGCGCTCGGGCGGGAGCTGGCGGGGCTCCAGGCGCCAGACTTCCTGCGGGAGGTGGAGGAGGAGGAGGAGGAGGAGGAGGAGGAGGAAGAAGAGGGGGGCTCCAGGCGCCAGACTTCCTGCGGGAGGTGGGCCTCGGACTGCCCTCCAGCTGCAGCGCTCGAGGGCGAAAGGAGCAGCACGGGCGCGGGCTCTCTCGGAGCGCCGCGCGGACTTCCCGGGCCCCCTCTCGGGCGAGGAACAAAAGCCATGGCGGGAGGCGGTCCCCTCTTCGGGGCCTCTGGGGGCCCTTGCCGGCCCTCGGGGCCGTCGAAGGACGACTCGGGACGGAGAGCCCCGGTCCAGGGGAAGGGGTCGAGACCTCCAGGGCTCGACGCCACGAAGAGCAACAGATCGTGACGTCGGGGGGGTCCCGGGGCTCCCGGCGCCGCGCCGGGGGCGGGGCGCCCCGCGGCGGTGCCGGGAGCCCGCGCGGAGCTCCCGGAAAGAGAGCCCGCGCCTCTGAGCCGCCCGTTCGCCCTCGCGGGCCTCGTGCGGCCGGCCGCCGGGGGCCTCCGCAGGGGCGCCACGGAGGAGACTGGCGGCGCGCAGAGGGGGGCAGGGGGAGGGGGGAAGGCTTCTTAGAAGGAGGCTGCTTCTTAGAAGCCGCGGGCCTGACATTTACAGACAGGGCCCGCGCCTTCTGAGAAGCAGGGGTGCTTCTAAGAAGCCTTCCCCCCCCTCGCCCTGCCCCCCTCTGCACACCACGGAGGAGAGCCTGCCCCCGCTGGAGTTCGTGGCGGCGGCCAGCTCGGCCTCGTGGGGCCAGGCCTCGTGCGGCGCGCCCGAGGCCGCGGAGGGCGGCGGCGGCCTGGCCGCCTGGCTGTTCCTGATGTGCCACGCCGCGCAGAGGGACCACGTCGCGGAGCTGCTGCGGCAGGGCGCGCCGCCGCTCGCGCGCGACCGGTCATGGGGAGGAGGAGGAGGGGAGGAGGAGGAGGAGGAGGAGGAGGAGGAGGAGGAGGAGGAGGAGGAGGAGGGGGAGGGGGAGGGGGGGGGAGGGGGAGGGAGGAGGAGGAGGAGGAGGAGGAGGAGGAGGAGGAGGAGGAGGAGGAGGAGGAGGAGGAGGAGGAGGAGGAGGAGGGAAAGAAACACACAGGCACAGTTCATCGGCGATTCCCCAGAAAACATGGGAAAAGATGGGAAGTGGGGGGGAAGACAAAAACCCCGAAACATTGGAAACATAGGGGGAATATGTTTATTTGTGTGTATTGATTTGTGTGTCCCAGGGCCCCTTCAGAGGAGCTGACTCAACGTGAGGGGGCCCCTTTCGCCGAGTGACCTTTGGTGCGGGCTCACGGGGGGTCTCCCCAGCCGTGGCCTGCACGCTCGGATGTGGTCCCCCCGCTTGGAGTCTGGCGAGGAGGGTATGCACGGCGAGATCTGTAAGTTTCCCTTGCGCGCGGAGCCAGCCACGCCGGAGGCTTCGCATCGCTGGTCGCAGTCGTTTCGCCCCTTCTCCCAAGGCACCTCTGACGTGCACGGCTTCTCTTTTTCTCTCTCTCTCTCTCTCTCTCTCTCTCTTGCGGCTCCCTGAAGCCTCGCACCGAAGGTCATTCTTGCTCAGGGTCATCGCGTGCAGCTGAAGGCTATATATATATATATATGTGTGTGTGAACTTACATGTTCATGCATATATATGTATATATATATGTATATATGTGTGTATGTATATGCGAATAGCTATGAATAAACATATATATATATATATAAATGTCGAGGTCGCAGCCCTTCCCTCGTCACCACTGGCGGAGTCGCCTCGAGGTCGCGGCCAGGTCGCACCCCGGGAGAGGGCCGTGGCGCAGCGGTAGGGGTCTCTCTTGTTCGGCGGCGAGCGACGGGGGGAATATTCAATAATAGTCAAAAAATACTCTGGGGACGATGTTTCTGTTATTTCTGACTATGTTTGAGCATTGTTTGATTATTTTCTGTGGTTAATCGAAAATCCGCCTGTAGGAGGACAGGCCCGACCTAACAGTATCGGTATCTTTGGTTCGACGGCGAGCGAGAGGGGAAGTGAGAAGGGGCGGGCCTCCTCAGAAGGCTCGGATGTCCTCCAGCCTTCTGAGAAGCTTCCGAAGCCTTCCCCGAAGAGACAAAACAACTTCTCGGAAGGTCTGAGGCCCTCTGAGGAGCCCCGCCGCCTTTGAGAAGGCCTTCTCCTTCTCGGTTCCCCCCCTCGCTCGCCGCCGATTTGTGGGCGAAAAGCTGCGTATCCGCAGCAGGCCAGGCCCGTGGTCCGCAGCAACGCGGATGAGGACCGTTTTTCGCGAAGGCACCGCGTGGAACCCATCCGTGCGGCCGCGTATCCGCGGGACCGCGCCCAGGAATTTGGACCGCGAGGGCCCAGATACGGATATGCTCGCCGCTCGTGGATCAGGGGCGGCCGAACCGACCCTTAGCAAGCCAATCCCTTCGTGACTCCCCCCTCACCTCGCCCCGAGACGCACGCACGCGGCCGGAGGGAAGCTTGAAAGGCGAGGATGGCGCCACGGCAGGGGACGGTTTGCAAGAGGTCGGTTGGGCCGCGCCCGAGTCTGGGCAAGACGCCGCCCTTCTATGGTTGGCCTGGGGGCGGGGTGGAGGAGGAGGAGGAAAGAGGAAAGGAGAAGAAGAAGAGGAGGAGGAGGAGGCCGCCGCGCCCGATCGTGGATCGGTTCGATGTTGCAGGTCGGGGCGCACGCCGCTGCACTGGAGCTGCGCGAGGGGCGACCTGGACGTCGTCCAGGCGCTGGTCGAGGCGGCGGCCGACCCCCTGGCGGAGGCCGCGGTGCTCGGCGGCGGAGGGCGAGGGCAGAAGCAAGCGCACGGGCACGCAGCCAAAATCGGCGGTAAGGTTAAGTCGGGCCCGTCCCTCCCGCAGGAGGAATATTCAAAAAGAATCACAAAAAAACAAACAACAAAAAAAACAGATGGGGACTATTTGTTGACCATGTTTGGGCGCATTTTTCGAGTAGTTGTTTAACCCGTGGGGGGGGGACACGCCCGCCTTGACGGTAAGGGCGCAAGGTTTAAGTCGAGCTCAAAAACAGTCTGGGGACGAGTTCTCTACAGCGTCTCACCATCCTGGAGCATGTTGGGACTCTTCTCTATGTGTCGTCCAGAATCCGCCTGTGGGAGGACATGCCCGACCTAGCGCAAGGTAGGGATGCAAGGCCCTGGCCCAGAAGGGGTCCGAGCAGATGGGGCCGGAGGATCGCTCCGCATCGCCGGTGCGTCGACGATGCGCCCCGATGTAGAGTCAGAATTTCTCCACGCCGACAGCGCCGATGCATCGGCGACGTCGCCAGCGCATCGCCGATGCATCCTCGATGTATCGCCGATGCATCGGTGATGCAGCGCGGTCCTCCGACCCCATGTATTCGGACCCCACCTAGAAGGCCTCCAGAGGCCCTCGGACCCTCCAGATTGGAGGAATTGGAGGTCCTCGGATGCCGAAGCTGGCCAAGGATTGGCCGAGGAGGCAAGGAGGCGAAGGTGCCACTGCGGGAGTACGCACCGCGTCCTTACCGTGGATGTTGGCCGTGATGTGCGGAGCTCCACGCGGAGTTCCTGGATCGGCGCTGACCCCCCCATGCTGGCGCGTTCCGCACGGAGCCCCGAAAATCACATGTGTATGCTGTCCCTGAAGAGAGCTGTGCGTAGCCCGCCTAGCTTTTAGCGGAAGAGGTTCGCTCTCGCCCCGCCGACCAAAAGTGCGTGTGTGTTGATTGTTGTCTCTTATTCCAGGAGAGACGCCGCTGGAGCTGGCGGCGCTGCAGGGTCACCTCGGCGTGGTGAGGTACCTGGTCGAGGAGCGCGAGGTGCTCGACCGGCTGCCAGACCGGCTGAGGTCGCCGAGCCACTGGAGCCGCCTGCTCCTCCAGGCACAGGCCTCCTCGCCGCCGACGCCGATGCCTTCCGACGGTCTTCTGGGGGGTCGGACTCGAACGGTATGTCCTCTTGCCTTGCCTGCTTCTCACCTTGTCCTTGCCGCTGGCACGTTGGATCTCAAGGATCCTTTTTCACCGCGCCCCCTCTACAGCGTTTTGATACACGACCCGCTTCACATCGCTTTGCAGAAAGATCTCATAGTTCGACAGATTCTTTCTGACATCCTCATTTCTAGTTGGTAGCGAAGCAGGTTCGCCCCTGCTCCAATACCACGGAGGTTGCCAGGGATGATCATGGCCGAGCCGAAGAAACCATTATCCTGGCGGGGGACCCAACCAAATGCATGTGTGAGCGAGCAATGCACATGTGAGAGTCGTTTTCGGCGGAGCTCCCTATTGGGCCACGAAGCGTCTGAGGGGTGTGCCGAAATTGGTCGTGCGGTTACATGTGAACCCCGTCGCAGGTGGACCCTGCCGCTGGGGCCTTTGATGAAGCTCTTTACGGGGCCACACAACGTGTGAAGGGTGTGCCGACATGGGTCGCGCGGGCACACGTGGGCCTTGCCACTGGGGTTTTCGGTGGAGCTCCGTATGATGCCACGAATCTTCTGGGTGGTGTGCCGAAATGGATCGTGCGGACGCATGTGGACCCCGCCATTGGGGCCTTCGGTGGAGCTCCTTTGGGACCACGAGACGTGTGAAGGGTGTGCCGACATGGCTTGGGCGGACGCATGTGGACCTTACCGGTGGGGCCTTCGATGGCGTTCCATATGGGGCCGCGAAACATGTGATGTGTGCCGACATGGGTCGCTCGAGCGCATATAAATATATATACACATACATACACACATACATACATAGATATATATACATAAATATATGTATGTATATATATATATATATATATATGTGTGTGTGTGTACCTTGCCGTTGGGGTTTCCGGTGGCGCTTCCTTATGGGGGCCACGAAACGTGTGAACGGTGTGCCAATTGTCGTCGGGCGGACGCACATAAACCCTGCCATGGGGGCCTTCGGTGGAGTTCCCTGTGGGGCCAAGAAACGTGCGAGGCGTGTGCCGCATTGTGTCTTGCGGACGCACGTCGGCTTTTCGATTGGGGCCTTCGGCGGACCTTTTTTTAATGGGGCTGCGAGACGTGCGAACGCGGGGCCGAAATGGGTCGCGCGGACGCACGTACACCCTGCCACCTGGGCTTTTTGTGGGTATCCTCGTGGGGCCCCGAAACGCTTCAAGGGTGTGCCAAAATGGGTCGCGCGGACGCATGGACACCCTGTCATGGGGGCCGTCGGTGGGGCCTCTTTTTTTAATAGGGCCACGAAATGTGTGAGTGGTGTGCCGGAATGGGTCGCGGTGCCGCACGTAAGCCCTACAACTTGAGTTTTCGGTAAAGTTTTCTGTAAGGCCATGAAACGTTTGAAGGGTGTGCAGACATGGATCGTGCGGGCACACGTGAACCCTGCCAGTTGGGCCTTCGGTCCGGATTCCTATGGGTCCACGAAACGTCCGAGGGGTGTGCCGACATGGGTGGCGCGGACGTATGTAGACCCTGCCATTGCACCCTATGGTGCCACGGGGCGTGTGAGGGGTGTGCCGGAATTGTCGCGCGGACGCGTGTGTTTTTGCTATTGGTGCTGTGGTGGTGCTCCTTGTGGGGCCACGAAACGTGTGAGGGGTGTGCCGACGGGACGCGCGGGCGACTTTCGGCTGAATTTTCTGAGGGGCCACGAAGCCTGTGAACGGGGGGCCGAAATGGGTCGCGCGGACGCATATAAGTTTTGCTATTGAGGCCTTCGGTGGAGATCCCTATCGAATCCACGCGACGTGTGAGGGGTGTGCCGCAATTTTTCGCGCGGACGCATGTAAACCCTGCCACCTGGGCCTTCGGCGGGTCTCCCGGTCGCACGGGCGCGCGTACATTTTGCCATTGGGGCCTTCGGTGGAGTTCTTTACGGGACCAGGAAGTGTGAAGGGTCTACCGAAATGAGTCCCGCGGACGCATGTAAACCTTTGTCACCAGGGTCGTTGGTGGAGTTCCTCATGGAGCCACGAAACGTTCGAGGGGTGTGCCACAATGGGTTTTGTGGACCGCGCGGATGCCTGTGAACCTTGCCTTTGGGGCCTTCGGTGGAGCTCTTTCGACGGCGCCACGGCACGTGTAATGGGTGTGCCGACATGTATTTGTCGTGCAGATGCACGTGAACCTTGTCACGGGTGCCGTCGGTGGTGCTCCTCGTGGGGGCACGAAACGTGTGAGGGGTGTGGCTGCCATTGGAGCCTTTTGTGGAGCTCCCTATGGGGCCACGAAACGTGTCAGGGGTGTGCCGACATGTGTCCTGCAGCCACGTAAACCCTGCCACTGGGGCCTTCGATGGTGCTCCTCGTGGGACCACGACAAACGTGTGAGTGGTGTGCCGAAGCCGATCGCGCGGATTTGTGAGAACACTTCCGCTGGAGCCTTTGGTGGAGCTCCCTGTGGAGCCAGGAAACGTTTGAGGGGTGTGCCGACATGGGTCGCGCGGGCACGCGTAAGTATTGTTGTTGGGGCTTTGGGTGGAGTTCCCTATGGGGCCACGAAGCGTGTGAGTGGTGTGCCGAATTGTCGTCGGGCGGGCGCATGTAAACCTTGCCAGTGGGGCCTCCGGTGGAGCTCCTTATGGCGCCACGGAACGTGTGATAGGTGTGCCGACATCGGTCGCGCAGACGCATGTAAACCATGCCTTTGTGGTTTCTGGCTGAGTCCTTTATGGGGCCACGGAACGTGTGAGAGGTGTGCCGACATGGGCCGAGTGGGTGCACGTAGACCTTGCCCATTGGGGCCTTCGGTGGAGCTCCTCAGGGGGCCACGAAACGTGTGAGGGGTGTGTGGGGTCGCGCGGGCGCGCGTAATCCCTGCGACTGGGGCCTTCGGTGGAGTTCCTGACGGGGCCGCGACACGGTGGAAATTCCGTATGGGGCCACGAGGCGTGCGAGGGGCGTGCCAAAATTCAGGAGGGAAAGAAACACACAGACACAATTAATCGTCGACTCCTCAGAAAATATGGGAAAATATAGGAAGTGGGGGGGAGACAGAAACTCAGACAATATGGGAAAATATGGAGAATCCTTTTATTTGTGTGTGTTTACTTGTGTGTCCCAGTTCCCCTTCAAAAATGGGCGCGGTGGGCGCATGCGAACGCAGCCCTGTGGGGCCTGCAGGGCCACGAAGCGTGTGCGGGGTGTGGGGGGGCAGAGGCACGGAGGGGGGGGAGGGAGGAGGGGGAGGAGGAGGAGGAGGAGAGAAGATAGGAAGAGAAGGAGAGAGGAGAGGGACGCGGGGCGCTGTCTCTTCAAAACGAGGACGCGTGAGTACAAGTTTCTCACGGATACGAACTTTCGGCGCTGTGCGCGGATTTCTTGGATCGGCAGTGGGCCCCCCTGGCGGTGCCTCTGGCGCCGCCCCTGGCGCGGTCTGGCGCCGATCCAGGAAGTTCTCGCGGACCACAAGCTCATGTTATGTTTATGTAGTGTTGTCCGGGCGAGGAGTGTTCTTTGGAGGCGCTCTCCTTGGAAAGCTGGGGTCACCCTGAGCCAGGGTCACCCCTGGCAACCTCCGAGGAAGGGTGGAGAGGTGGAACATAGAGTTGCTGCGTGCACCTGGTTTCGGCCCCGCTGCCCAGCAGTTCCTATCGACACACGGTTGTCCCGTTTGCACGTTGCCGGTCCGCTGGAATCCTTCTGGCTGATCCCCCCCCGAGGTTCGCCGCAGAGCGTCGCGCCGCAGAAGCCGAATTCGAACCAGAAGCACGCGCTGTCCTACCTGCAGGATGCCGTGATCTGGACGCGGGACCTGGACGACGCGGACAGGGGCATCCTACGGGCCTCTCGGCCCACCCGCCGCCGGCCGCCGCACGGGCCCCCGCGTGCAGCCCCCAGCGCACGCCCAAGGCTCTGTTGCCCGGAGGTGGGCCCCGGAACGGGCGACGAGGACAGATGCCCATGCACCAGGCACCGATCTCTTCCAGGCCCCTCTGAGCCCACGGTGGGTGCACGGGCCTCTATGGCCGAGCCAGCGAGGGGCGTGTGGTGTGCAGCGCTCGGCCCAAAAATGGCCTTGGCCGTGATCGGCGCACGAACTGCCAGCAGCTCGATCTAGCCCTGCCTGCCCTGCAGCCGCTTGGGCTCCACCTTCCTGCTCTGACGGGCCTGCCTGCCCGGACTGACCTGCACTGCACTCAGAAGCTGCGAGCCCACCTTCCCAGACATGCGACGCCCTGGTTTGTTCAATACGGGGTCCCTGGAAGTCCCGACCCTTCCCCCGGAAGCGTTTTCTTTTTATCTTGAGTCGTTGTTGGACGGTCCCGAGGCCTGGCGAGGGCCCTCCGAGGCCGACATTGGCCAAAAACATGCCGTCCAGGTTGGTTTCACGACTCGATCATGTCTGCGCTTCTGGTTCTCAGCAGCACCGTGGAGGTGGCCGCTGGCCTGGCGGCCATCCACCAGGCGCACGAGGTCACGGTGACCCGCCGAGCTAGAGGCCTCTTAGATGGGCTCCGAGTGCCGCCACGTCAACAATACATCGACGATGCATCGGCGATGCATCGCGATGCACCGGAGATGCACCAGCGATGCATCGTCGACGTCGGCGATGCTCGGCGACGTCGACGTGAAGCAAGTCGGGCCCCACATCGAGCCTCATCGGCGATGCATCGGCGATGCGGCGCGATCCTCCGACCCCATCTACTCCGATCCCATCTAGGTGGAGGGTTTCTCCGAAGGGCTTAGGCGACCCGACCTCCTCCTCTTCCTCCTCCTCCTCCTCCACCACCTCCACCTCGCTCCTCCTCCTCCTCCTCCTCCTCATCATCATCATCATCAGCAGCAGCAGCATCATCATCATCATCCACCTCATCATCCTCCTCCTCTTCCTCCTCATCGTCCTCCCTCTCCTCCTCATCATCCTCCTCCTTCTCCTCCTCCTCCTCCTCTTCCTACTCCTCTCTCTCATTCGCCTCATCCGCCTCATCCTCATCCTCATCTTCCTCCTCCTGCTCCTCCTGCTCCTCCTGTGATGGTTGCGATTGTGTTTTTGCAGGGCGCCACGGCCGTCGTGATGGGAGACGGCCAGCCCCAGGTCGGAGCAAATGGTCGAGCTCATCGGTGGCATGGCCTAAGCTCTCGCGAGCGGCGACCGAGCGGCCGAGGAGGGGTCGTTGTTTCGATAGGGGTGCTCGCGCTCGGGTTCTCCCCACAGCCAAAATCAGAGCTGGAACTGGAAAGGCCGTAGTCGCATGAAGAAGCAGACCAACTACCCACGAAGAGACCAGGGCGAACAATGTGGAAAAATATATGGACGCACATCATCAAGAGTTCACCATCTCAGACGAGAGTTGCTCCACCGACAATGTGCCATTCTCCAGATACACAGGGCCAGTGTTCCTGGCGCTCCTGGCAGCGTGCTGCACAAGCTTGACGAATAAGTGAGACTGTGCGCAGGCCCACGCCTCACGCGGCTAGTCATCCCAATACGGATTGGCATGTCAATTCCTCAGCCATTTCAGTATTCTACGTGGTTTTGGTATCCTACCCCGTGGCGGTTCCCCCTTCAGATGCCCAAGTGCAACGTGTGCTACATCGCGGTGATCATGGGCGAGTCTGGATACGAGGAGCGAGTATGAGTAGGCCTGACCGTGAGTCACTGCGTGTGGGTAAGATATGGCCTAGGCAGGGTATGAGCATATGAGTGTAAGTGGTATGGGTGCGTGAGCCTAAAGATGAATGTGTTCGATCACGAGTGAGCTTGAGTGTGAGCGGATCTGAGTAGGAGCGAGATTGAGCATGAGCGCGTCCAATTGTGAGGGATCGGGAAGATGAGTCAGGCAAAGGAAGCCGAAAACAAGCACCGAAGAAAATGCCACTGCTTGGCAGATGCTGGGAGGGGGCCCCCGCCTGGGAGGGGGCGCGTCGGATGTTGGAGCTCGGCCTCGCGCGGGAGAAGAGCGACGACAGGCCCACACGGCTAGGCGGAGGAGGAGGAGGAGGAGCAGGAGGAGCAGGAGGAGGAGGAGGCAGGAGAGGGGAGGAGGAGGGAGGAGAAGGAGGAGGAGAAGGCAGGAGGAGGGAGGAGGGAGGAGGAGGCAAGAGGAGGATGGACTCCAAGCCAGTTGATTCCCCAGTGCCCGCCCTCCTCCGCCTCTTTGGATCCACCGCCGTCTTCCTCCTCGGTCTTGCTCATGTTGCTCCTCAGCTGTCTCGTCGCTCCTCGTTCCTGCTGTTTCGTCTCCTCCGGTTCCTCCTCATCATCTTCTTCTTCCATACAGTTCGTTCTTGTCCTTTTCACTATCATCATTCGCCTCGTCCTGCCACCTGCTCCCCAACCTCCTCCTATCAAGTGGCGGGATCCTCCCGCCAAGGCTATTGACTGCTGTTTCGACCGTGTGCTCAAGAGCTCTGCAATCAGCATTGAATGTAGCTGCGGAGGCGGGGTTTGGGGGCACAGCGGCTGCACTTCAACATCCTCCTCTTCCCCTCTTCATCATGTCTGTCATCGTCACCTCTCGTCCGTCCTCTCCTCTCCTACTCTTCATCCTTCCTCGTGCTCCCTCATCGTCCTCCACGTCGTCCTCCTCCTCCTCGTACGCAGATCCCAGCGTCGCGTTTGTCCCTGAGCAGCTTGTCCGCAAGGACTTCATATTCGCGTTCAAAGCAACGAGCAGGTGCACCGCTGGATCCGGAATCGGTGGGTGGCGTTGCCTCCCGGTGTCTCCCCAAGTTGGTGGAGCGACGTTGTCTCCCGTCGCGTCCCGTTGTCTCCAGTGGCCTCCCAGTGCCGTCTCAGTCCTGTCCGTGTCCTCGCTACGAAGCCATCGGCAGGCTCACTGGGGGTCTGGTTCAGTTTCTCGGCCCCCAAGAATGTTATCCGGATGTGTTGCTGTTGTCTTGTGTGTTCATGTGCAGATGTTGGCCTGCACATGGTTGCCCTTTCTCTTGCTTCTGGACCTGCTATTTTCATGCTGGCGTGTGCATAGCCGTGCTCTGGAAAAAATGACGACCACCTGTCTGATACGTCCATTCCTGTCACTCCCCGACCATTATCTGTGTCATCCTTACCCTGTATCCTTGTCCCTACATTCATACCCCGACTTCCCTGGCCGCATATCCCTACGCCTTTCCCGATCCACCCATCGTGGCATCTCATCGAGACCCCCTATCGTGGACCCCGTCGCAATTGTGTAAAGCTGCGAAGGATCTTGGAATCGTGGCATTTCATCGAAACACCCCTCGTGGCATCCCATCGAGACCCACATCGTGACCCCCTATCGCACCTGCGTAAGGCTGCTCAGGGTCCCGCAAGGGTGCTATTTTCATGCCGGTGGCGACCGAGAGGGGCAAATGAGAAGGAGAAGACCTTCTCAGAAGGTGGCGCGTCGTATCAGAAGCCCCCGCGCCTTTTGAGAAGCGTCCTGCGTCTTCGGAGAAGGCTCTGAAAACTTCTCGGGAGGCCAGAGTCGTTTTGTTGACGTCTCCCAGCAGTGCCGAAGATGTTCGTCGCGAGTTCTTCCCTCGACGCGAGAGGCTCCTCCTCGCATTCCTCGTCGTGCTCCTCGTCGTTGGGGCGTCTTCCTCGTGTTCCACCTCGTGTTCCTCGTGTTCCCGTCGCTGCGTGCTCTCCGACTCGCCGAAGATGTTCGTCGCGAGTTTTCCTCAGCGCGAGGGCTCCGGGGTCGCCTGTCCTCTTCCTCCTCCTCCTTCCCCTCCCCCTCCCCCTCCTTCTCCTCCTCCTCCTCCTTCTCATCCGCCTCCTCCTCCTCATCCTCCTCTCCCCCCCTCGCCCTCCTCCTCCCTCCTCCTCCTCCTCCTCCTCCTCCTCTCTCTCCTCTCCTCCTCCTCCTCCTCCTCATCCTCCTCCTCCTCCTCCTCCTCCTCCTCCTCCTCCTCCTCCTCATTCCTCCTCCTGCTCCTCCTCATTCCTCCTCCTCCTCCTCCTCCTCCTCCTCCTCCTCCTCCGTAGCCATTTTGGCTCAAGCAATTTCGGCTCAAGGCTTTGAGTTCCCCAGTGGAACAAGTGGATACCGCTAGTCCGCGGCCAGACTTCCGAGTTCTCATCGCACCGCTGCGTGAGTGGCCAGGCGACGCAGCTGCTTTCCTGTGCTGGTCAGCCCCAGCACTGACACCGCCAAGTTGACACCTGCGGTTGCTTTGATGACCCGTCAGATGTCGGCCAATGGCGCGAAGAATCAGGAATCGTCGTACACCACCTGCAGTTCCTGCGGAAGCTGGGCTTGGGATTGGCGTCTTCGGTTGCAGTATGGTAAGTGCAAAGTCTGTGGCTCCCACGTCTCAGGCTTCGAGAATGCGCCTTGGATCCGCTCGGAGCACTCCCGCGCCCCGTGGGCGAACGCCGAGAAGTCCGAGTGGTCGACCCCACCATGGCCCCCTGCTTCCAAGGATTGGCCTCCTCTCCCGTCCAAGGCCGAGCCCGCTCAGCTCCTGCAGCAGTACCTCAAGATGGCTGGTCTTTCCTCGGACTCTACGGCGCTGGAGCTCGCTCACCAGTTCGAAGAGGCAGCGGAGCGGGTCAAGCCGAAGCCCAAGGCGAAGTGCCCGTACGTTGTCCTGCGTGAAGCTACCTCGCTCTGTGCTCAGAGGCAGGCCAAGCTCGCCAAGGCGTCCAAGCAGCTCCTTTCGGCGGAGGCCTGGCTGGAGGAGCGTAAGGGGCGCCAGCTCGTGGCAGCGGAGGAGCTCTTCGAGGCGGACCAGGCCCGCTTGGTGGCCCAGGAGGCCACGCAGGGTGGAGGTGGTGCAGGCGTCAGAGCTGAAGCTTCGGCCACTCCTGAGGTTGGCGAGGCTACCCCTATCTTCGGAGTTGACCCCCAGCTCTTCCAGGACCTGGACGACTACGAGGAGGAGGACAAGCAAAAGTTGTTGCAGCTCCAGAAGGAGCTCGATGACATCGCCACCCAGGCCAAGGCCCGCGAGCAACAGTTCAAGGAGCCGCTTGCCTCGGCCAAGCAGGCGCTGCGGGCCCCCCGCAAGCGGCGCCGCGCCGAGGGCGGCCAGGCCAGGGCGGACGAGGCAGAGGGCGCGGCCTCGGAGGCAGCTCCTGTCTCGCCTACGCCCGAGGGCAGGGGGGGCGGCACAGCCCCCCCCCCCCTGCCCAGCCCTCGGCGGAGGAGCGCGGCAAGCTGGTCGCCTCCATCGCTGCGTCCTCGCGCGAGGCCCAGCGGGCCGCTGGCCGTGGCGAGGTCGCCACTGAAGGTGCTGCTCCTGGCCGCGACGTTCCTGCTGAGCCTGCTGCCGCCCACGAGCGCGGGTAGCACGGGCGCCCCAGTCGGAGATGCTACGGTGTTCTATTCTAATTTCACAGAGTGGGGCTCTCAAGCCCGACGGTTCCTCACGGAGAAGTTTTACGATCATTCAGTTGTGGCCCTGGTGGGGACCCATCAAGGGGCCAACGCCTTGCCGCAGCCGGAGACCGACCTCGATAAGGACGGATGGCAGTTGAGCTCTACTCCCGCGCGTCCCTCTGGGCTCTCGGAGTCGGGCCTCAGTGGAGGTGAATGGATCCTCACACGCAAGTTTGTGGCCAGCTCTTCTTTTCAGCGCACGCGTGCGGCCGCCCGTGCTGAAGGCCGCCAGGACCCCTGCAAAGGGTTCGTTCCGCTCACCCTGCACTTGAGGACGGGGGATGTGGTGGTGATCGCCGCCTACCTGCAGCCCGGCCTGGAGTTCCGCGGCATCAATAACGGCATCACGGTCGCACTGGCGTCCTTTACTCGGGTTCTTGCGGACCCGTGGCTGGTCGTTGCGGATTGGAATTGTGAACCGCCCAGTCTCGTGGCCAGCGGCTGGGTTCAGCAGTTGCAGGCGCGGGTGGAGGTCCCGTTGAATTGTAAAGTGACTTGCGATAAGGGCCCTGGCCGCCTGTATGACTATGTGTTTGCCAGCCGCACGTGCCCTGATTTGACGTTGCATGCTGCGCAGAGTGCCCCTTGGAAGTCGCATTGCGGGATTTTGATCACCATCGAGGGCGCGCGCGAGGAGCGCTGGGTCTCGAAGTTAGTCGCGCCCAAGGCTCTGCCTACTGCCATGCGGCCGCGGGCCCATCCCCAACCTGACAGCAAGAGGCAGCGTCGACGAGCTGCTGCACTCCAGAGGCGCAAAGGGGCTCTCCCTGAGGACTTGGATGAAGGCTTTGTTGCTAGTCAGGCGGAGCTCGCGACCTCGGAGCATCAGGAAGGAGAGGAGGTGCGCGCCCCCTTCTTGGTGACTGAGGATACTTGGCCGGCAGCACTGGCGGCGCTGCCCCCAGGCCCTTGGGCCCCCCAGCCCCGCGGCGCGCCCCTCCACGGAGGCGTGGACCCGTGGCACGGTGAGTCCCTCAATGGAGGCGTGGACCCGCGGCTGTTCGGCGCGCCCCTCCCTCGCGGAGGCGTGGACCCGAGCTGCAGCGGCCGGGAGGCCCCTGCCTCGGCACGGGCGGCGGCTGCCACTGCTATTGCCCATCTGGCCAGAGACGTGCATTCCTCTGGGATGGGCACATGTGCTACTCAGATGGCGAGTTCTGCTTCACAGAGGTCTGTGCGTCGTCACGTTTTCGCGGATGGGAGTCGGCCCAGGAGGCACGCACTGCTCGCCCCTTCGCCGCAAGGCATGGGGTTGAGGGCACCGACCTCCTGGGACCTCTTAGTCAGAACGCCGCACGAGTGCCTACCACCATGGACTTGGAGGGCCTCGATAGTTTCCAGGAGGAGGAGTGGGTGCATGACCCGTTTTGTGCTGTGCAGGTTCCACCGCAGACTCCTGCCCCACAGCGCGCTCCGCCCCCTTCTGGACCTGTCTGCCTACGCGACCAAGCTGTCTTCCATCAGGATGCGCCATCCGTTCCAGCACACCAGCAAGGCATTCGTTGGGGGAAGGCGGTAGGACCAAGTCGTGCGCCCCAGGCGCTTTGTGGCTCAACTGTGATGGGCCCTACGGTCGCCCCCAGCATCGAGGACCAAGCCAGGATCCGCGCACGTGCTCAGGCCTGGCTTGATCAAGCTTGGCGGTGCTGTCCTCGGGGTGCGTTACCTGCAGCGCGCCCTTCAGATTGCCGCATCCTGCAGTGGCGCGCGGAAGAGCGTGAGCGCATGTCTGATGAGTATGTTTGTTGGGTCTCTTCTTTGGAACAGGCCATCCTCGACACTGAGGGCCTGGACGGCGCAGATCGGCGTGCATGCGTGGGTCGCGCCGCAGGGCCCGCGGTGAAGTGGTCGAGGTTGCGGGCCACTCTTAGACGTACCCACATGAGGAACAGCTATGCCGAGTGGTGGGGCATCACCACCACTCTCTTGGTTCGTTTCCGCGCCCTCACCCGTAACGGAGTCGACCTGTGCCAGGCTGAGGACTGCCTGTCCCAACTACGGCGGCATCTGCTGAGTCTGGATCTGCTGGAGAAGGACGCGTACTCTGGCAAAAAGACTACTCTCGAGCTCGCCGAGGCGTGGGTCTCGGACGCGGGCATCCTGGATGAGCTAGAGGATGATGCGCTGGACCAGGTCGCACAGCTGGCCCAGCGCTGGTCGGACTGGGCTTTTCACGGGCAATGACAGCATCCAGGGCCAGTTTCATGGTGTGGGTGCGCGATGAGTGGCGACGCAAGCCAGGCTTAGCGCATCGCCATGTCAAGCCAACCCTCCACCTGAATGGGAAGGTGCTGGCCCTGATGGTTGCCCCACCAGTCACCCTCGGCTTCTCTTAGAAGGCAAGCGCCAGCACTGGTCTGAGATCTGGCGCGAGAAGGTGGACACTCAAGAGGACCTCCACTACTGGCTGAACCAGTTGCACTCGGACGCCTTGGAGGAAGCGCTGCCGCCCTTTGAGCTCGACCAGCTCACCTCCACCCTACGGGCCATGCCATCGAGCAAGGCTCAAGGAGTTGACGCGCTGGGGCCAAATGACGCGCTGCGGCTGCCAGATATTGGCCGTCGTGCGCTGGTGAACCTCTTGAATGGTATCGAGCTTTCAGGAGTGCGGCCTGTGGTACGACGGTTCTCGGTGCCTCCATTCCAAAGGGGGTTGGCGGCCACAGGGTGCTCGGTCTGATGCCTCACACTGCCAAGTTGCGGAGCAGGATGCGTTCAGCCCCGTCTTACTCTTGGACGGAGAAGCAAGGAGCCTTCTGGGACACGGCGATCGCGGGGTCCTCCGCTCTGCGGGCGGCGTTGGCTAGGGCCACCCTGGATGAATGTGATCGCGAGTTGGGCGTGTCATACGCCACTCCCTTCCTCGATTTGCAGAAGTTTTATGATTCGATCAGTTTTGTGCTGCTGATGAAGGCCAGTCGCTCTCTTCACTACCCCGCCATCATCACTGTCCTGGAGGTGGGTATGTATGCGGCACCCCGCCTCATCAAGCGGGGCGTCTTGGTCAGCTCTGCCCTGGAGCCTGGCAAGTCTATTGTTGCTGGTTCTCCGCGTGGAGTGGACATGGCCAAGGTGATACTGCACGGCCTCCTCCAGGAGGCCCGTGTTGCGTGCCCGCGAGCGGGGCTTTGGACATTCATTGACGACACTGTATGCAGGACGGAAGGCGCGCGTGCTACTGTCATTGGAGACATGTTGACGGCCGCTCAGCCATTGGCTCATGCGTTCAAGGACCACCGCTTGGCGATCTCTGACAAGACGAAGCTTGTTGCCAGCGATGACGCGCTGGGGTTGTCTCTCGTCACTTCCTTGAAGAGCATGGGCATTCCTGTTGCTCACGCCTCCTCGGCGGTCGACCTGGGAGTTGACGCAGCTGGTGCTCGACGGCGCGCCCGACCCAAGCTTCGTGCTCGAATGGTCAGGGCTACGGCGCGTCGGGGCAGGACCCAGAAGCTTCGGCGACTTGCTGGCAGCCACATGGTGGCGCGTGGCTTGTGGAGGGCTGGCGTGCTTCCCTCTGCTACATATGGGCATCAAGCTCACGGAGCGCCGCCCTCCATGATGACCAAGCTGCGCACGCAAGCTTCGATCTCGATTGCTCGCCACAAGAGGGGGGCGATGCTTACAGACGGTTTTGCAGGCGACGCTTGGCACAAGCGACCCCTCCGTGCAGCTTCGACAGGATGTGCTTACTGAGTGGTTTCGCATGTGGATTGCGCACCCGTATTTGCATGGCCGCATTGCTCGGGTTTGGCCACGTGTTCGTGCTGGACTGGGCGATCGCGTCCGCTGGTGCGGTGTCCGCGGGCCCATCGCTGCCCTTCAAGCTACATTGTTGCAGGCGGGTCGGGTGCCCCTGGAGGCCACCCGCTGGCGACGCTCAGGTGCTGAGGGGCCAGAGGACTACACGTTCCTTGCCTTCGGCGAGGATGGCTACAACGACACCGTGCCGGAGGATTTCAGTGAGCTCCTGGCGGACTTTGAACACGATTGCGGCGCTGTTGCCTGGCGGCTGGCCGCCAAGCATCCTGATGGCGAACAGCTCGCGGATGGAGCGGATCTGCATGGCATTCAGCGCGAGTTGGAGGCCTTCGCCAGGAAGGGTGACATGGACCTGTGGGGCGCGACGGTCTCGGCCACAGCAGGTGGGAGGCGGGCGCAGCAGAGGCAGCACGATGCAGGGTGCCAAGTCGATCGTCGGCGCCCACAGTGCAGAGCTGCCCCTGAGACGCTGCGCCACCGCATCTGGGAGTGCCCGAAAAATTGCTCCCACCCTGATCACACGTCTACGGACGCACTCGTTCCGCAGGCGTTGGCGAATGCTGACCTCGACCCTTCCTTGTGGCTGAGGGGAGTGCCTGCAGCCAGTATGACAGTTCCTCGGTTTCAGGAGGGACCTGGTTTTTCTGATCCCATTTTCCTCGGCCAGTGCTTGCTGAAGGAGCTCTCGGCCCCTGCGGGACACCCCCCCCCCCCTCTATCTGTTTGGGGGCGGCGCAGGGGGAGAGCGCAGCTCTGACGATCGTCGGAGACGCTGCGGAGCAGCGGTGGTAGTCATGCGTCGGACTTCGGACGGGGATCCTTCTGAGGCGGTGTGGCCCCCCGTCTGCGGAATGGCTGCCTGTCTCTCTGGACGACGACAGACTGTGCCCCCATCAGAGCTCCTGGCACTGGCCTTGGGCCTCGAGAATTCTTCTGGTGATATCGTTTACGCTTGCGATTGCAAGCCCGTGGTTGAAGGCTGGAGGTCTGGCCGCGCTGCTCGGCCTTATGGCCGAAATGCTGATCTCTGGGTTAGATGTCTGCAGGCGGCCAAAAAACGTGGACCAGGGTCCGTTGAGGTTGTCTGGACTGCTTCCCACCTGGAAGCTGAGCCCGAGCGTATCACCTCCCCTTTTCAAAGCCTTCCTCTCTCACGGCAATGCTTGCGCTGATGTCTGGGCGGGGTGGGCGGCGAGGAGGGGGTGGGAAACGTCGGTCGGACACCCGATCCCGTTCACGGATCGCTGGGATGTCACTGCCTTGCTTGTGCGGAGAAGAGCGAGGCGCGCATTGATCGATAGTGTTGCTGTTGCCCCTGAATTCGGCCCCAGGGTATCCAGGCCCAGGACCCAGTCCTTGTCCAAACTGGCGCGGGCCCTGGACTCTTCGTCGCACCGCCTTTCGCGGTGCAGCAATCGTTGGACGTGCGCAGGTTGCTCTCAGATCGCGCCTCGGACTAAGCTCCTGGAATTCGCGGCCACGGCTTGCCCAACGGCTGCTGGGCCTGGCCTTCCTTCCTCCTCCGCTGGCCTCTGTGGCCGTTTCCTCGGCGATGGTTTCCCGGCGGCGTGCGGGGCGACCAAGGTTGGAGGCGTGGCCTTGCATCCTTCCCACGCCCTCAAGGAGTGGTCTCGCTTTGGCCTCAAGTGTTGTGCTGTTTGCGGCTTCACGGCTGCGGTTGACGGACGCAACGTGGCCAACCCCTGTGCCTCCCCCCCCCCGCAAAGGGAGGGAGAATCTTAGCCGCCTCGCGAAAGTTTTGTATCCATCGTACCGAGGACCCCCTCGTCGCTGGTGGTCGCCGAGATCCAGGCCCAGGCTTCGAGAGCCCAGTCCTATCCTCGGCATCCCTCATCCGAGGCTGTGCCTGTCCGCCTGAATGAATATCTCAGGTTTGACGCCGCCTGCGGGCGGGGCTCCTCAGTCGAGTGCCCCCTCGGCCCCATCCGTGGGCGGCAGAGGGAAGGACGGTGGGCAGGGGACTTGCAAGGCAGAGGGGACGGGGGCGTCGTCGTCGGCTGCGGCGGCGAGGGCGGTCGGCGGGGAGCGAATGAGGGTGAGAGCCCCCCCGCGCCGCCGCCCTGCCGCCGCCCCGCGTCGGCGGCCTGCGGCATCCTCAACGCCAGGTGCGCCGCCCCCGCCCCCCCCTGCTCCCCCCTCACAGTCTGCCTAGCCTTGCACGCGCGTGCACTCTTCATCCGCATCCGCCTCCTCCTCCTCCTCCTCCTCCTCCTCCTCCTCTTCCTCCTCCTCCTCCCCCTCCTCCTCCTCCTCCGCCTCCTCCTCCTCCGCCTCTTCCTCCTCCTCGTCCTCGTCCTCTCCTCCTCTCCTCCTCCTCCTCCTCTCTCCTCCTCCTCCGCCTCTCCTCCTCCCTCCTCTCCCTCCTCCTCTCCTCCTCCTCCCCCCCTCCTCCGCCTCCTCCTCTCCTTCCTCTCCTCCCTTCCTCCTCCTCCTCTCATCCTCTCCTCCTCCTCCTCCTCCTCCTCCTCCTCCTCCTCCTCGTTCCTCCTCCTCCTCCTCGTCCTCCTCCTCCCCCTCCCCCTCCTCCTCCTCCTCCTCGGCGACAGGCCCGCGCTGCTCTCCAAGCAGCCGCTCCCGCACTGGCAGCGGGACCCGCTCCCGGACGAGGCGGCGCTGGCCGCGCTGAGCAGGCTCCGGCTGGAGTGGAGCGAGGCGCGGGCTCCCGAGCTCAGGTGGAGACAGGAGGAGGAAGGAGGAGGAATGAGCAGGAGGAGGAGGAGGAATGAGGAGGAGGAGGAGGAGGAGGAGACAGGAGGAGGAATGAGGACGAGGAGGAGGAGGAGGAATGAGGAGGGGGAGGAATGAGGAGGAGGAATGAGGAGGAGGAGGAGGAGGAGGAGGAGGAGGAGGAGGAGGAGGAGGAGGAGAAAGAGAAGAGGGAGGAGAAAGAGGGCACGAGGGGCCAGAGGGTCGCCGCAGCCGAAACTGGAGCGCCTCGGGGCGGGCCTCAGCCGAGGTCGAAGTGGTGCTGGCCGAAGGCGAACACCATGCGCCGCTGGGGGTGGGGGGCGGCGTCCTAGCCGCAACACGGCCGACGCCCCTACCGTCCCCCCGAGCCGCCCCCAGCGGCGTCCGGCAGCAGCCCAGTCCACCGGTAGCGGCCGTCCGCGAGGTTGATTAGGAGGCGCCTCGCGACCGCCTTGTCGCCCTCCTAGAGCGAGGGGATGGTGGCGCCCAGCGCCCCCAGGAGGCCGACCGAGTCCCCAGCGCCGACGCCAAGCCTCCCCAGGAGCGCCGACACCTCGGCCGTCTCGACGTCCGCGTCGCCAGCAGGCACCGATCCCGTCTGCACGACCTTGGACTCCGCGACCGCCACCGCCGCCGCCGACCGCCGCGCCGCAGCGCGCCCGTCGGCTCCAGCAGCAGCACCAGCCTCCGCGAGACGAGGGGCGACCCGACGTGCGTCTCCCGCCCACTCGTCATCCATGTCGTCGTCGTCGTAGGGCGCCTCGGCGGAGGCCACCGCCACCTGCACGAGCGCGAGGCCCGCAGGAGCAGCGGCCGCACCAGCACCCTCCTCCTTTTATGGCCTCGGTGTCCATCCTGGCGGCAGCGCGGCGCGACACGCGACGCTGGCGGCGCCGCCGCCGCTTCGCCGCCCGCGCAGCGGGGTCTGCACCTCCGTCAGGACGATCACGATCTTCATGTCGAGCAACACCAGCACCGACATCGGCCGTCGGCGCCCGCCTCTCGCCCAGCTGAAACAGCACGGCGGAGACCCCGGAGCGCGCGACCGCAGCGACGATCCGCCGCGGCGCTCCAGCAAGGGCCGCCCTTCGCACCGCCGCCTCCACGAGGGCAGCCGCATCAAGCAGAGGCGCGCAAGCCCCTCTAGGCTGCGCCATGCCGCCAGGCCGAGGCCGAGGGCGAGGGGCGACGGGCAGCCGTGCGAACGCTTGAGCCGAAATGGCTACGGAGAGACAGGAGAAAGAGGAGGAGAAGAAGGAGGAGGAGAAGGAGGAATGAGGAGGAGGAGGAAGAGGAGGAGGAGGAGAAGGAGGAGGGTCGAGGGTAGAGGCTCGCGTTGGCCGACGGACGACAACACAGGCTCTCTGTTGTTTCGTGTCCTCTTCGGGGCAGCGAGGGTCTTCTCGTAGCCTCGGCTGGATCCGCCTCGAGATTCCGGTCAGAACGCACCCCCCCGGGGAGGACTGGGTGCCAGTGGGGAGCTCGGCTCGAATTCTGGTCCGTTCCGCATGGGCTTCCTCGGGCGCGCCATGGGGCTCCTCTCGTCGCCACGACTACTCCGTTTTCGTGACCTGTATGCAGGTCGTTCAGTGAGTGGCCAGCGGCGCTGACTCCTAATGCGACGTCCGGACCTCCTGGAGCGGTTCGGTGCCGAGGGCCAGCGGACGACTGGCAGTCGGCCTGCGCGCGCCCGCGCCCCACCCGTTGCCAGGTGAACTCCTTCGGTCTGAACAGCCTCCGCCTGCGACGCTCGGCGCAGACGAGCATGGCAGGCTGCGGCGGCACCGCCTTCGCTGCGGAGGGTCAAGGATTATGATGTTCCAGCTTACTGTCTGGCCCTGATCACCAGAAAGAGTTCCGAGCGCCCAGAAATATCTGAACCGGACGGTTTTCGCGTGTCGGGTCTTGGGAGGCGATATTCGTTCAGTGTTTCGCCAGCGTGTCGGGCAGACATTGTTTCGATAGTTCTCGGGGTGCTCGAACTTATTTCTGGGAGGTGGTCCTGCAGTATGATGGGAACAACAGAAGTCGAGGATCGAGGAAGTCAAACGTCTGTCACCTTTGTGGGGCATCATGGGTCGCCCTCTCTGGCCGCGGCTGGATTCCTTTCGAATGTCTCGTCAAAACGCCCACCAGGACAGGTCCGCCGCCGCCGCCCTCGTCGCCATTTCCACAACTATCTTGCTTCGAAATCCCAGGCAGAGCGACCCCTTGGGCGGGTCCAGGACGTGATCGTTTTCTTATTCATTTTTTGTCCGATCGGCGCGGGCCCTCCTCCTCCTCCTCCTCCTCCTCCTCCTCCTTCTCCTCCTCCTCTCCCTCCTCCTCCTCTCCCCTCCTCCTCCTCCTCCTCCTCCTCCTCCTCCTCCTCCTTCTCCACCTCGTCCTCTTCCTCCTCATTCCTCCTCATCCCTCCTCCTCCTCCTCCTCCCCTCCTCCTCCTCCTCCTCCTCCTCCCCCTCCTCCTCCCTCACCCCCGTGGGCGAGGCGTCCTGGCTCGCCTGCAAAGAGTGTTCTAAAAACCTGTTGGTAGAGAAACGAGACATGACATAAGCATAGAAGCTTTGATCCGCTCTGAAACCCCTCTCTGGCGCGCGGAGCGCGCCAGGGGCGGCGTAGCGCGGATCCAAGAAATCCGCTCGGACCTCTGAGTTGGTATGTTTATGCTATTGTCCGTTCCTTTATTCTGTGGTGTGCACCAAATGTTCTCGGAACACTATTGGCCGGGGCTGTCTTGTGTTCGCACACATCGCGTTCATGCTCTAAGAACACTGTTCTTGTTACGGTCGGTCCTTGCTCAAGGATGTGGAGCAGGCCTGGGATCTGAGGTGTCGACAAAGAGATGGACTACAGGCTTGATGCCCCCCAAGTTTGGAATTGTCGTCGCCGATGCTACGACAGTGACGCAGGACGCTTCGTAGATCTGCGGAGCCTCCTGCGTACTGGTCGTGGTCTGGGCACATGAATTCTCATGGCGCAAACATCGCAGAGCGGATTTCGTTCGGCAAACATTGGGATGGGCCCGGATTGTCCTGGAGAAGTCGCTCCGGATATCGAGTTGAATTTCGTGCGGATTTGTTTGTGGCCAGGAATGAAGACTAAGAAAATTCCACGTGAAATTCAGGTCGTTTGTCGCTCGCAATTGCGGGATGTTGCAGTGAGAGAAATCCACGCAGAAATCAGCTGCAGCACGTCTGCCAGGCAGGTGCAATGAGAATGCTGCAGTCGACCCCTTACCCGAAGGTGGCCTAGCACTAGCTCTTGCGAGCAGGAAGGAGGGGGTCGAGGTTCGAAGCTCTTGGTTCGAGGTGGATGTTGGTCTTCTGTCGGTCTCCACGCGCCGCTTTCAGGCCCCAGGACCGTCAAAAAAACGGATGCGCGGCGAAAAGTTGCACCAGATGGACCCCAGGGAGGTTTGTAGACGGATGTTGAAAGGAGTTACCCTTATTCCTTCTTCTTGACCGGTTTTTGTCGAGGTCCATCCAGTTCCGACCCCCCAACCGCTTCCCAGGCTGGATATTGCTGCAGAACGCGACCGCGTTCGGGGAGGTCCCGCTCGCCCCAGAGGTGCGCCTCGGAGCGAGGAGGGGGTCGGGGGCGAGGATGGCAAGGTTCCGGGTCGCGCACAGGCAGCGCCCTCAGGTGACTAGCCCCGGCGGGGCTCAACAGGCTCCCTGAGTGGTCCCAGGTGGCCTCGACAGGCCGGGTGCTCAGGGGCGGTCTCGACACCCCAGCGCCGCCTCCTCGCCTCTGGGTCGGGGTGCTGCGGCCGCCCCCAGACGGAGGGCCTATTGAGGCCAGCTGGGACTATTTGGGGAGCCTGGTGAGGCCCGCCCAGGCTGCCTGGGGGGGGGGCGGCCTGCGCGCTACCCGAAGCCTACCAGCCTACGAGGCGAGGAGACGGGGGGGGAGGGCGTGCTCTGCGCGATAGCCATTTGGGGCCATCATGTGGCGTTCTGGGGAGGGAATCCTTGAATGTTCTCTGTGTGTGTGTGTGTGTGCGTGCGTGTTGGCCGGCGGAGGTTCCTCGTGTTCTTGAGGGAGATTACTCTGTCTTAGGTTCGATCGCGCCCGTTTCGGGCACCCATACAGTCAAAAACCCTAATACGGACGCGCGACTTTGCTCAGGGTACCCTTGCGTCCTTGCTCTCCCTTGCTCTTGCGGCTCGTCCTTGGCCTCTCTCGCTTGCCCGCTTGTCAGGGTACCCTTGGGGTTTTCGTCGTCCGCCGCCCAAAAAATCCCAACTTCGGCTTCCAAGGGTCTTGCGTCCTTCCCGCGCGTCCTTATTAGGGTTTTTGACTGCAGCTGCGGGTGCGGCTGCTGCGGCTGCGTCGCGGGAGCTCGCGGGCGACTCCGAAGGCATCCCCGAGTCTCGGCGGCTGCGGGCGCGGGGACCGCCCTTGGGCGACCCCGAGCGCGTTCCCCGGCGGCGGCTGCGGGTGACGTGTGCCGGTGGTTCAGAGACTTGGCATCGCCCGGACGTGTGCATTTTTTCCTCGGCGAGGACCATCCTGGACCATCCTGGACCATCGAGCAAAAAAAACACGCACGAAACCGAAACATGCACGGGAAATGGACGTCCGAGCGACGGCAAGAAGATGGGGTCCTGAGGGATGGGGGCCTAAGGATCAGAAGGGGTGCAAGGGAAGGTTCACGCTGCGTGGGGCACCTCGTCCTCTGGACCCCATCCCTCAGGACCCCATCTTTGAGCCACCGAGTGTGAGTGCAGTGTGGTGGTTGCAGTCGCCCCGCGGGCGGCGCTGGGTGCGCTGCCCAGGCTGGGCGTCGGGTGCGGAGGCTCCCGGCTCGAGCTTTGTGTTCCGTTCCCGAGGCGGCCAGCGAGCACGTGGTTCCGCCAGGAAGATGATGAGCTTCCGTGTGAGCACCCGTGGCCACTAAGGCCAGCTTCGGCTACGTTGCGCGACCCTGCAGGCCACCGTGCTTTTCCCGACCCATCTTCTGGTGTTGGGTCTTCGTTCTGGGAGGACAGCGCCCCGCAATCCTCCTTCCTCCTTCCGCCTTCCGCCTTCCTCATCCCCCTCCTCTCCTCCTCCTCCTCCTCCTCCTCCTCCTCCTCCTCCTTCCTCCCATCCCCGCCCAGTTCGGTACACCCCTCACGCTTTGCGTGACCCCGAAGGAAGCTTCAGCGAAGGCCCCAGCGGCACGACCCGCATGGCGTACCCGCACCCGATTTAGTGCACCCCTCATTCGTGGCCCCATGGGGAGTTTCACCGAAGGCCCCAGCGGCACAGTCCGCATGGCGCACCCGTCCCCAATTCAACACACACCTCACACGATTCGTGGCCCTATAGGGAGCTCCACTGGAAGGCCCCAGCGTCACAGTCCGCACGGCGTACCCGCACCCGATTCGGCACACCCCTCAGACGCTTCGTGGGCCCAAACAGAGCTCCAACCAAGGGCCCCAACGGCACAGTCCGCACGGCGTACCCGCCCCCCCTCCAGCACACCCCTCACACGTTTCGTGGCCCCATAGGTGACTCCACCGAAGGCCCCAGTGGCACAGTCCGCATGGCGAAGCCGCCCCCAATTCGGCGCACTCCCTATACGTTTCGTGGCCCCGGGAAAAGCTCCTCCGGCGTACCCGCACACCCCTCACACGCTTCGTGGCCCCGCAGGGAACTCCAGCGAAGGCCCCAGCGTCACAGTCCGCACGGCGCACCAGCCCCCGATTCAGCGCAACCTTCACACACGTTTCGTGACCCCATAAGGAACTCCACCGAGGGCCCCAGCGGCACAGTCCGCATGGCGTACCGGCTTCCGATGCGGCACACCCCTCACACGTTTCGTGGCCTCGTGGGGAGCCCCACCAGAAGGCCCCAGCGGCACAGTCCGCACGGCGTACCCGCACCCGATGCGGCACACACCCTACACGCGTCGTGGCCCCACAAGGAGGTCCACCGAAGGCGGTACACACAACGGCGGTACACACAAGTGCATATGATTGGGTCTTTCGCCAGGATGAATAGTTTGGTTTCTTCTGGGCCAATTGGGGGCAGGTTGGACGCCCTCATTGATGTGGGTGAGCTGTCCAGATCCGGGGTGGGCGTGGGGATGAACCCGCCCACGGGAGAGAGGTTGTTTCGAAGGATCTGACATCTAAGCCACGTACGCCCCTAGCCTTATGCGATTAGTGAAAAAGCGGCCCGCGTCGTTAGCAACGCGTCTGCCTACGGTCCGCTTGGCTCCGCCGTCCCTGTCCGCATGCACGACTCCAGCCATAGAGTTGTCGAGCCAGCAGCCCGAGCACAGGACCGTTGAGGATGAAGATTATGAATTGTAGTGGCTACGTGCGTGTTACAATATTGTGTTTGAGATTTGCACGGGGCAAGGGGGAACAATCCCAGCCCTAGGTCGCCGTCAAGTTCGTCCAGGCATTGTCCAACGATTACCGGCAGGAGAATCCCTTCCACAACTGGTCACACGCAGTAGACGTGCACCATATGGCCTGGCGCATGATGTTGGTCAGCCGCGCTCACAATTTTCTGACTGGTATCGACCAGTTCTCCTTGCTCGTGTCTGCCATTAGCCACGACGTGGGCCACCCCGGAGTTAACAACCAGTTCCTTGTCGAAACCAGATCTGATCTTGCCATGAAATATAATGACAAGTCACCGCTCGAGAACATGCATTGCTCTTTGATGTTTCAGATCGCCTCAATGGCGGGTGCAAACGTGTTCGAGGGCATGAAGCAGACTGACTATTCCGAGAGCCGCCGAACCTGCATCGAAACGATTTTGGCGACTGACATGGTGCACCATTTCGAGATCCTGAAGGGAACAGAGATGCTCTACCAGATGCACGCCGATAGCATGGGTAGGGAGACCGACAACAGAAGCTTCACCGACAGGGATACCAAGCAAAAAGCAATGAACTTGCTTGTCCACGCTGCCGACATCTCGAACCCGTGCAGGCCGTGGGAGGTGTGCCAGCAGTGGGCCCACGCCTGCCTCGACGAGTTCTTCAGCCAGGGCGACCGCGAGAAGGAGCTCGGCATCCCGGTGCAGATGCTCAACGACCGCTGCAAGGTCAGCAGGCCCTCGTCCCAGATCGGCTTCCTCGAATTCATGATCGTGCCGCTGCAGGTGGGCCTGGTGAGGCTCCTCCCGCCCCTCCACGAGCTGGCCGAGCACCTGCAGGCGAGCCTTCTTTTTGTTGCTGTGCTCCTCCTCTGGCCGCTGCCAGCCGTGCCGCAGCCGACCCACGGGAGCTCGAGCCGCAGAGCAGGGCAGCAGAAGCAACGGGACGGCTCCGTGGTGGGAGCGCGGCGAGGGGAGCGAGGCAGGGGTGGACGAAGACGAGGCCGAGAGGGGGAAGGCAGCGACGAGCCCACAGCGCAGAAACGACAAAGCGCGAGGACAAAAACAAAAACAACAAACAAAAAAAAATGCAGGCGAACCTGCAGCACTGGCACGAGGCCTGGGTCCAGGACGCGGGCCCCGCGGCTCCGGAGGCCGCCCAGGTCGCCGCCCGCGTCGAGCGCGCGTGCCGCGCGCTCGACCCGGTGCTCTGGCGGAGCGCGCCGTGCGAGGACGGCTCGCCGACACTCGGGGGCGGCAGAGAGGGGGGTGATTACGGGGCGTGAAAGCGACGACAGCCACTGCTTTTCTTTTGTTGCCGCCTTCCAGCCCGCAGAAACAAAGCAGTGGTTGTGGTCTGAGCGTGGCACCAGGTAGATGACCACAACCACTGCTTCTTTTTCGGCCGGCTGGAAGGCGGCGCAAACAAGAAGCAGTGGCTGTGGTCATTTTCCAGTCCCGCAGTGATGACTGGGGGGGGGGATATCATGGCGGGGGCCATGATGTTTCCCAGATGTCGTGGCGCCTCTTCTCATCTCATCACGTCCCCGGCCCCCCCCCCATGGGCCGCGCACATGCCGCCGGTCATGATTTGCGCCCCCGCCTCTTGGACACCCCCCCTCTTGGCCGCTCCCGATACATGCAAGAGTGACCTTTCGCCGGAGTGACCTTTAGCGTGAAGGGGGTGGGGAGGGCCTTGCATCCAGAGGCTCGAGCATGTCGAGTCCGACACTCGTCCGTTGTGCAGCCTCTGGATGCGGCTTTCGGGCCCCGGGGTCCTCAGGAGACGACTCAGGGTGTAAAGCCAGTCCTGGGGAATGAACTGGTCCCAGGGCCCCGAGGGTCGAAGATAGCAAGTCGTCGGAGGTACGGGCATCTGGACGAACGAAGTAGGGTGAAGTCGGGCCTGTTCCTCTACAGGAAAAATATTCAAAAATAGTCCAAAAATAGTCTGGGGGCGATGTTGTTGCCTGTTTTTGACCATGTTTGATTACGCTTGGGGGATTTTTTATGTTTCGTCCAAAATCCGCCTGTAGGAGGACATGCCCGACCTAACTTGGGTGCGGGCTCACCGGGGTCCCCCTGACCGCGCAGCGCGATGCGAGAATGGCTGCTCGCACGCTTGGATTGGCCACCTGGCGCGCCCGCAATCCGCGCACTAAAGGTCACCCTTGCCTAGCTAGGGTCACTCCTGCGTGTAGCCGAGGACGGTACCGACGCGAAGAGGGATAGCATCCACGTGTGAAGAGGCCTTGGTCGCGAAGAAGAGAAAAAGCGCCATAAACATCAACCTTTGGCGCTCCGCGCGGATTTCTCGGATCCGTGCCAGGCCCCCACGGCGGCGCCTCCGGCGCCGCCCCTGGCGCGCTCCGCGCGCCAGGAAGGAGGGTCCAGCGCGGATCCAAGAGATCCGCGCGGAGCGCCAAAAGTTCACGCGTACGGCGTTATGTCTTCTTCTATGGTTGCCGTGGTGCTCTGTCTCCTCCCTCGGAAGGGGAAGCGGCACCATAACCACCAGCGCGACACTGCAGCCGAGGGGGTCCACGAGGCCTCCCCGAGCTGGAGATCTAGGAGACGTCTCGAGAGGGACGCCGCAATGCAGTGCACCGCAATGCAGTGCTCCTCGCGATGGTGCTGGTGGTGCTGGTGCTGGTGGTACTGGTAGTGCTGGTAGTGCTGGTAGTGCTGGTAGAGCTGGCAGTGCTGGTAGTGCTGGTAGTGCTGGTAGTGCTGGTAGTGTTGGTAGTGCTGGTAGTGCTGGTAGTGCTGGTAGTGCGGGTAATGCTGGTAGTGCTGGTAGTGCTGGTAGTGCTGGTAGTGCTGGTGGTGCTGGTGGTGCTGGTGGTGCTGGTGGTGCTGGTGGTGCAAGTGGTGCTGGTGGTACTGGTGGTGCTGGTGGTGCTGGTGGTTCTTGTGGTGGTGGTCGTGCTGGTGCTGGTGCTGGTGGTGCTGGTGCTGGTGCTGGTGCTGGTGCTGGTGCTGGTGGTGGTAGTGTCGCTTTCTTTTCCTGGCTCTTACTCTGGCGTTCGCGTGTCGGGGGCCGGCTGCTCGTGGGAGCGACCCCTCGCCGAAGTGACCTTGTGGGTGCGCGGCTGTCAGGAGGACTCCGGGGGAGGGGGAAGGGGGAGGGGGGCAAACCCAAGCACGGATCGGCATGCCGCGCACAAAGGTCGCCCGTGCCTGGGTCGCTCTCGCGTGCAGCCGAGGGGAGGCCAAACGCGCCCCAGGGCAGGTGTCGCTCCAAGAGCGCCCCTGGTCAGCACGAGCTCGGCCGGGGTCCATCGCGCGGGGCCCGCGCACCCCCCTGTGCCCGTACTGCCTCCGCTGCCCCTCTGGCTGCTCCGAGGGAGGAGGTAGTTGGAGAAGAAGGAGGAGGAGGAGGAGGAGGAAAAGGAGGAGGAGGAGGAGGAAAAGGAGGAGGAGGAGGAGGAGGAGGGAGGGGAGGGGGCGGGGGAGAAGGAGGAGGAGGAGGAGGACGAGGAGGAGGAGGAGGGGAGGAGGAGGAGGAGGAGGGGGGGAGGGGAGGAGGAGGAGGAGAGGAGGAGGAGGAGGACGAGGAGGAGGACGAGGAGGAGGACGAGGAGGACGAGAGGGAGGGAGGGAGGGAGAGAGGGAGGGAGGGAAGGAGGGAGGATGGGGAGGATGAGGAGGAGGAGGAGGAGGAGGAGGATCGGCATCAGGGAAAAGGACTCTCAGTTGTCCGACCCTCAGGGCGTCTTCCAGGCCATGGAACCGTCCTGGAGCAATTCGGGCCGAGAAGGCGGTGCCAAGGGGCAACTCCATGATCCGGGACCCACTGTCGTGGCGGACCCCCTTTCATCATGGCTCATGGCGAGCGGAGGAGGAGGAGGAGCAGCAGAAGGAATAGAAGCAAGGGGGAGGAGGGGGGCGAGGGGGGCTGCTTCTCTCCGCGTGTGGTTCTGGTCCTCCGTATGCCCAGTCTCGAGAGAGAGACAGCCGTCTTGCTCTGTCCACGGCGCAGTGAGCCTGAGGAGGCGGCGGATCAGGAGCCAGCGGCGCGCACCAAGGGGTAGGACGAAGGGGCAATCTTGCACACCGCTTCTTAGGAGCCACCGTGCACCCTCGAGGAGCCATCCTGGCAGCCTACGATCCCTTGCAGAAGGCCCTGACCTGCCTTGCTAGAATGCCCGCCCACCCGCCTCATCCTGCCAGCTTTCGCTAGCCAACAAAGGAGGAGCAGGAGGAGGAGGAGGAGGAGGACTTCTGGGGTCCGTCTTGGTCCGTTGTCCAAGCCGCATACAGCCGTGGCGACGAGAGTATCCACGGACGTTCAAAAGGCACCCAAATGACGAGTTTGACGCCGTCGTCGTCGTCGTCGTCGCCGCTCTCACGCAGAGGGGGGGAGGAGGGAGGAAAAGCAAGAGCAGTAGGTTTGACGGGGCAAGAGATCTGCAAAGGCTTCTGAGGACACCGAAAGGGGCTAGCGTGGTATGTTTGTGGCCCCCACCTCCCATTCGTGCCTCTCCTCACCGCCCTAGTTTGACACACCCGCAAACGTTTCGTGGCCCTAAGGGGAGCTCCAGCGAAGGCCCAAATGGCAGCGCCCGCATGGCGCTACCAGCCCATTTTGGCTCACCCATCGCAGGCATCGTGGCCCCAAAAGGAGTCCACCGATGGCGCCAGCGCCCCATTTTGGCACACCACTCACACGCTTCGTGGCCCCATCGTGAGCGCCACCGAACCCCCAGGAGGAGGTGTTGCATGCGGTCCTCCACAACCCTCACACGCTTCGTGGTCCCAAAAGGAGCTTCACCGACGGGTGTTGCATGTGGTGTCCCACACCCCCTCACATGCTCCTTGGTGCCATTGAGAGCCCCATCGAAGCCCACAGAAGGAGGATGTGCATGGTGTTCTCCACGCGCCTCAAACGCGCCGTGTCCCCGTAGGGAGCGACCCCGCAGGAAGCCCCACCGAAGCCCCCCGGAGGAGTGCTTGCACGTGGCTGTCTACGCCTCTCAAACGCTTCGTGGCCCCACTGGGAGCTGCACCGGAGCCCCCAGGAGAGGGTTTGCATGCGTCCCACACCCTTCACACGTTGCGCGGCCCCAGGGGAGCTCCACAGAAGCCCTCAGGAGGGTTTCGCGTGTTGTTCTCAACACCCTTTATGCGTTACGCGGCCCCATTGAGGTCTCCATCGAAGCCCTCCGGAGGGTGTTTTGCATGCGATGGTCCACACCATTCACACGCTTCTTGGCCCCGTGGGGAGCTCCACCGAAGCCCCCAGGAGGGGTTGTACGTGTTCTCGACACACACACACACACAACACACACACACACCTCACACTCTTCGTGGCCCCATAGGCAACTCAACTGAAGTTGACAGGAGGGGGGGGGTCGCATGCGATTCTCCACCAATTTCGGCACACCGCTCACACGCGTCGTGGCCCCGCAGCATCCGCATGGTGGCACCGCACCCATTTCGACACACGCCTCACATAGGGAGAGCTCCGCAGAAAGCCGCAGTGGCAGCGTCCACATGTCGGCACCGCATTCATTTCGGCATACCCCTCGCACGCCTGGAGGCCTCGTAGGGAGCTCCGCCAAATGCCCTAGCGGCAGCGTCCGCTTGGCGCCACTGCACCCATGTCGGCACACCATTCACACGTTTCGTGGCCCCCCTCCGCGTAAGCTCCTGGGTAAGCTCCGACAGGGTAAGATAAGGCAGTCGGGCGAGCGTACCCTAACGGGCGGATCGGACGGGCGACCCCTAGCTGGCATGAAAGCGGGCAAGTGGGTTTCCGAGCAAACGAACGGGCGGACCCTGATAGGATGATCGGGTGGGCAGGACACTGAGGCAGGCGGGGCCTTGACAGGCGGGCCTGGCGGGATGAGCTTGACGGGCAGGTCGGGCGGGCTGGACACGCAAGCGAGCGGGCGGCGAAGTGGTCCCAGCATGAGTTATGAGTGGCGTGGATCAGATGTTGTTCAGGAAGTCCACAGGAAGGATGTGCCAGGCGAGAGCCCAATTCGTGGGCACATTAGGGGGCGGTTCCAAGCGAGCGCGCCATCCCCGAAAGGAGAGAGCGCGATTCTTCAGCAAGTTGTCCGTAAGTCTCAAACGAGAGCTATTGCTGTGGTAACCAATGGCCAGGGGCGCGGGTTGAGCCCCAGGGCCATGTTCGATAGGAAGAGGCCGCAAGAATTGAAGGGCGCATGTCAATGGAGAAGACATAACTAGGGGCACCAGCGAGGAGATTCAACAACGGAGGGTCGGTCGCCCATCCCTTGGGGAGGCGTTGTTCCCAGGCTCGAAGCGGCACCTCCTTCTCCTACTCCTCCTCCTCCTCCTCCTCCTCCTCCTCCTCCTCCTCCTCCTCCTCCTCCTCCTCCTCCTCCTCCTCCTCCTCCTCCTCCTCCTCCTCCTCCTCCTCCTCCTCCTCCTCCTCCTCCTCCTCCTCCTCCTCCTCCTCCTCCTCCTCCTCCTCCTCTCCTCCTCCTCCCCTCCTCCTCCTCCTCCTCCTCCTCCTCCTCCTCCTCCTCCTCCTCCTCCTCCTCCTCCTCCTCCTCCTCCTCCTCCCCCCAGTTTGGGCCGCGAGCCTTCTTTGGGGTCCCCCCTTTTTCCCAAAGGAGGTTCTCGCCGAAAAGCGGTTCGCTGCGGGGCTCCCTGCTTGTCCTCATCGGCGGTCATTCTTCAGAAGTAAACGGTCGACCATACAATTTGAAAGGGGCGAGGAGCTTCACGGCGAGCAGCCGCAGGAAGGCAGCAGCGGAGAGGTAGGGGGGGGGCAGGGCCAGAGGGAGCTCTGCTGAGGGGGGTGGTCTCCCCCCTGGGCTCCAGCAGGCGCCCCTCTCGCCCGCCCGCTGCACGTAGCAGCGGGTGGTCTCGCAAGACGCCTCGGGAGCGACCCCCGCGGCGCCAGCGCAGCAGCGGCAGGAGCAGCGGCCGGAGGAGGACGAGGGGGGGAGGGGAGCGTTTTTGGGCTCCGAAGTACGGTCCCGAGCCGAGGGAGGAGAAGGGGGAGGAGGAGGAGGAGGAGGAGGAGGAGGAGGATGACGAGGACGAGGACGAGGACGAGGACGAGGACGAGGACGAGGACGAGGACGAGGACGAGGACGAGGACGAGGCCGGCGCCGCCCTGGGGCACCCGACCCGCGAAGACCTCCAGAGGCCAAGACGAAATACAGTGGGAGGCCTGTCCAAAAGGAGCCTTCCACGAGACGCCCAGCCCTGAGACCCCAGGACGTCCACTGGGTTTGGGCGTGGGAGCGTCACGCTGCCCCATGGCGAAGGCCTCGACACCCAAGAAAATTACCCTGTGACGTACCCAACCCATTTGTATCAATGGAAACGAGGAGTTGGCCGAAACTTGTATGGACTATCAACTTGATGTGTAAGCTACTTGGTTGGCGTTACTGTGCTGGGCCCCGCAAGCAGGCCTCGAAAGTGGCGACAGTTTCACAGATCGCAGCCCCCCAGGGATGGCGAGGTCTAATTTGAATCTGCGTGTGGCGTCACTGTGCTGGGCCCCCCAGCAGGCCGCGAAAGTGGCGACAGTTTCACAGATCGCAGCCCCCCAGGGATGGCGAGGTCTAATTTGAGTCCGCGGTGAGTACCCACTGTGCTGGGCCCCCCAGCAGGCCTCGAAAGTGGCGACAGTTTCACAGATCGCAGCCCCCCAGGGATGGCGAGGTCCAATTTGAATCCGCCGTGGTACCCACTGTGCTGGGCCCCCCAGCAGGCCTCGAAAGTGGCGACAGTTTCACAGATCGCAGCCCCCCAGGGATGGCGAGGTCTAATTTGTGGGTACCCACTGTGCTGGGCCCCCCAGCAGGCCTCGAAAGTGGCGACAGTTTCACAGATCGCAGCCCCCCAGGGATGGCGAGGTCTAATTTGAGTCCGCCGTGGGTACCCACTGTGCTGGGCCCCCCAGCAGGCCTCGAAAGTGGCGACAGTTTCACAGATCGCAGCCCCCCAGGGATGGCGAGGTCTAATTTGGGTCCGCCCGTGGGTCACTGTGCTGGGCCCCCCAGCAGGCCTCGAAAGTGGCGACAGTTTCACAGATCGCAGCCCCCCAGGGATGGCGAGGTCTAATTTCAGTCCGCGGTGTGTGCCCACTGTGCTGGGCCCCCCAGCAGGCCTCGAAAGTGGCGACAGTTTCACAGATCGCAGCCCCCGAAGGATGGCGAGGTTTAATTTCAGACCGCGGTGGGTACCCACTGCGTTGAGCCCCCCAGCAGGCCTCGAAAGTGGCGACAATTTCACAGATCGCAGCCCCCCAGGGACGGGGAGGTCCAATTTGAATCCGCCGTGTGTACCCACTGTGCTGGGCCCCCCAGCAGGCCTCGAAAGTGGCGACGGTTTCACAGATCGCAGCCCCCCAGGGATGGCGAGGTCCAATGTCAATCCGCGGTGGGTACCCACTGTGCTGGGCCCCCCAGCAGGCCTCGAAAGTAACGACAGTTTCACAGATCGCAGCCCCCCAGGGATGGCGAGGTCCAATGTCAATCCGCGGTGGGTACCCACTGTGCTGGGCCCCCCAGCAGGCTTCGAAAGTGGCGACAGTTTCACAGATCGCAGCCCCCCAGGGATGGCGAGGTCAAAGTTCAATCCGCCGTGTGTACCCACTGCGCTGGGCCCCCCAGCAGGCTTCGAAAGTGGCGACAGATTCACAGATCACAGCCCCCCAGGGATGGCGAGGTCCAATTTGAATCCGCCGTGTGTACCCACTGTGCTGGGCCCCCCAGCAGGCCTCGAAAGTGGCGACGGTTTCACAGATCGCAGCCCCCCAGGGACGGCGAGATCCAATTTTAATCCGCCGTGTGTACCCACTGTGCTGGGCCCCCCAGCAGGCCTCGAAAGTGGCGACGGTTTCACAGATCGCAGCCCCCCAGGAATGGCGAGGTCCAATTTCAATTCGCCGCGTGTACCCACTGAGCTGGGGCCCCCAGCAGGCCTCGAAAGTGGCGACCGTTTCACAGATCGCAGCCCCCCAAGGATGGCGAGGTCCAATTTCAATCCGCCGTGTGTACCCACTGTGCTGGGCCCCCCAGCAGGCCTCGAAAGTGGCGACAGTTTCACAGATCGCAGCCCCCCAGGGATGGCGAGGTCCAATTTCAATCCGCCGTGTGTACCCACTGTGCTGGGCCCCCCAGCAGGCCTCGAAAGTGGCGACAGTTTCACAGATCGCAGCCCCCCAGGGATGGCGAGGTCCAATTTCAATCCGCCGTGTGTACCCACTGTGCTGGGCCCCCCAGCAGGCCTCGAAAGTGGCGACAGTTTCACAGATCGCAGCCCCCCAGCTGGCACGCAGCGACGAGCGAGGCAAAAGGCAAGGGGGAAGAGAGGGGCGGGAAGGAAGGAAGGAGACGCGCGAGCTGTGCTCTATTCAAAACGAGAACCCAACGCAGGAGGGTTGGAAAAAAGGCCAGGGGGCACCCCGGAGGCAAGCAGGGCGTCTCTTGGCATGGGCCTCCACTGCGGCCACCTTCTGTCTCAGAAGTGTGGCGCTGGTCCTTCGGGGTGGGCGAGGGTGGTGCGTCTCTTGCAGCGGAGGGGAGAGCTTTTGCTGGGACACGTGAGGAGAGGACTTGGGACGGGTGGGTGTACAGCAGCATCGCTGGTGCATCGCAGGTCTGCGCTGTTCATGCTCGTCCTCCTTCTCCACCTCCTCCTCCTCCTCCTCCTCCTCCTCCTCCTCCTCCTCCTCCTCCTCCTCCTGCTCCTCCTGGACCCGCCGGTTGGCTCCCCGAGCATCGACGGCAGCGAGAGAGGGGCATGCATGCATGTCCACCCCAACCCAGAGCACAAGTCAACATCCTGGAAGACCATGCTAGAACGGGATGGAGACGAGACGATGACCCGCCGCCTCCTCCCCGTCCTGGACCCTCCGCGGCAAGAAAGGCCCGGTCGAATCGAATCGGTCCGGAAGCGGCCCAGCAGAAGCGAGGCCCAGACGCGGGTTGAGAGAAAGGAATTCACGTGGGGCTTTGGAAAATCGTGGGCGTCGTAGGCAGAGAGGCGTCATGGGCAAAGCTCGTGAAGCCATGGGGCAAAGCTCGGAAGGGAGAGGCGCAGCTGCGGGCGGCCGTCGGCCCTCGGCTTGAGTCGGGCATGTCCCTCTGCAGAAGGAAGAGTCAAGGATTGTGTAAAATATCTAGTCTGGTGACGATGTTTCGCATGTTTGTTGTGACTATGTTCGATGTGTTGCTTCGACTTCGCGTTATGTTTCTTCAGGAATCCGCCTGGAGGAGGACATGCCCGACCCTTAGTGGGCCCAGAAACGGCAGGAGGGTTTTTGTCACCGTTTCCGAAAAGGCGTTCCTTGAAAATGGAAACGGCCAAAAGTCGGCGACCGAAAACGGCCAAAAAATTGCTCCAGGACTGGAACCAGAGCCAGAACGGGCAAAAAACGGCGTCAGAACCTGCGAAAAGACGGCGCCGGAAGCAGCAGAAACAAAACGGCGAGGTAGCCGGTAAAAAACGGTCCTGTCGTTTCCGGGGCCTCTCAGGCCCGACCTAACCCAGACATGCGACGTCTTGATTTGTTCAACACGGGGCCCCCTGAAGTCCCGACCCTTCCCCCAGAGCGGGTTTTTCATCCCGAGTCGTTTTCTGACGGTCCCGAGGCCCGGCGAGGGCCCCCGGAGGCCGAAATGAGCCAAAAACCTCCCGTCGTTTCCCCGTCCTGCTTTTTTTTGTTCACGACGCCAGCATGCCTGGGATTATGTCGGGCGTGTCCCCCCACAGGGGGATTTTCGACGAAAATTAAAAATACTTCAAAAATACTCCCCCAAAAGGGTAAAAAAATATTCAAAAAATAGTCCCTAGACTATTCTTGGACTATTTTTTGATTATGGTTAGGGCATGTTTAATTTTTCGCCGGAAATCCCCCTGTAGGGGGACAGGCCCGACTTAAACCTGGGAGCCCCGCGGCCCCTGCGCGACCGGGCCCCGGCCAGAGAGAGAGCCCCGCCGCCCCCCCGCGGCGGGGGGAGCACCCCGCGCGCGCGCTCTCCAGCAGAAGCCTGGAGGCCGCCTGCTGCGGCCTGCCGCCTGCCCCCCCCCCCGTCGCGGGCCGCGCGAGCGGGCCCGCCGGAGTGGGGTCGGGGATCGGCTGCAGAATTCGAGCGCCCCTCCTCCTCCTCCTCCTCGTCCCCCTCCTCCTCCTCCTCCTCTCCTCCTCCTCCTCCTCCTCCTCCTCCTCCTCCTCCTCCTCCTCCTCTCCTCCCCATCCTCCTCCTCCTCCTCCTCCTCCCCTCCCCCCTCCTCCTCCTCCCCTCCTCCTCCTCCTCCTCGTCCTCCTCCTCCCCCTCCTCCTCCTCCCCCTCCTCCTCCCTCCTCCTCCTCCTCCTCCTTCTCCTCCTCCTCCTCCTCCTTTTCGTCCCCCTCCTTTTCCTCCTTCTCTCCAGGCCTTCCAGGTAAGGTCGGAGTAGATGGGCGGGGAGGATCGTACCGCATCGCCGATGCGTCGGCGATGCATCGCCGATGCGGCTCGACGCGGAGGCCCAATTGTCTCCACGCCGACGTCGGCAACAGATCGCCGATGCGTCGCCGAGGCACCGCCGACACATCGGCGATGCATTGGCTATGCGGCGCGATCCTTCGACCCCATCTACTCGGACCGCATTTGGGAGGCCTCTAAGAATCAATGATTTACCCCAAGTCTGATGTTTCGTAGAGTTTACGAAAAAGACACGTGGAATGCTCCGTAGATCTACTAAGCATCACACGTGGAATGCCCTGTAGATCTACGAAGCATTCTACGCATTCCTGTGCAAGTTTGGCGGAAACCCCATTATGGCGAAGTCAACTCTGTAGTCGATCCCCTACTCGAAGAAGGGCGGCGGTCTTGCGCCGCGCGCGACCGCGCGCCGCGCGCGCCCGCGCGCGTGCGCCCTCGCCCGCGGCCTCGCCGACGGCTGCTCCGCGCCTCGCGGCTCAGTGCACCGGCAGGCGCGCGCGCGCGCGAGGAAAGGGGCGGTCGGCCCCCTTGGCATCGCTCGGACGTGTGTTTTGTTTTTTCCCGACGAAGAAGCACCACCGTAAAGATAAACTTGTGGCGCTCCGCGCGGAGTTCTTGGATCCGCGCTGGGCCCCTCCCCGGCGGCGCCGCCCCTGGCGCCGCCCTTGGCGCGCTCCGCGCGCCAGGGAGGGGGTTCCAGCGCAGATTCAAGAATCCTCGCGGGGCGCCAAAAGTTCTTGTTTATGGCGTTTGGTTTGTTTCCCCTTCTTTTCTTTTCTCGGCGAGGACCCTCGAGGAGCATCCTGTATCGCCGAGCAAAACTAAAAAGAAAACAAAACACAACAAAATACACGAAACCGATACATACACGGGGAAGGGACGTCCGAGCGATGCCGAGGCACGATGGGGAGGGAGGACGGTCTTCTGAAGGGGGACGCCTCCAGATGGGCACCACCATGTGGGAAGGTTGCTCGATTCACGCTGTCGAAGGCGCCCCGACCAGTGCCAGCCTGAAGTGGCGACTTCGTCGACACAATCTGTCGCATGTCTGACTACATGCGACAAGGGCCCCCGTACGTGCATTTGCTTGAAACGCGAACTGGTATTGAATTGTGGCCATTCCCATGCGGTACTGAAAGTTTGCGCCAGAGCTTTCGGCACACTATTCGAATCCATGTATCTACATACATACATACAGACATACATATATACATACATACATACACACATACATACAGACAGACAGACATACATACACACGCACACATACATACATACAGACGTAGACCGTGCATGTTGTTGTATGGTTGTTTGCATATGTCTTTACACTTGCACATCTGTAGAATGGTTTCCGGCCCATCCAAGCCGCCATCGTGCCTGGGCTGTGGGTTTGATGTCACTTGGACGTTCGTTGGGATCTCGTCGAGGCCTCTTGGTGGCCTCCTGGAGGCAGTTTTCAAGTCTCTGGGAGCTGATTGGGGGTTTCTTGGGGCCTCTTGGGGGCATGGGGGCCTCTCGGGGGTCTCTTGGGGCTGCATTGGGGCGGTCTTGGGGGCTTCGTGGGACGTCTTGGAGCGTCGGAAATTCGAAAAATGGAAGACAAAGAAAACAAGCTTGGAAACCTATGGACAAAATCACGATTTGGGTTTATTAGGGCTTGTTTGGGGCGTCTCGAAGGCCTCTTTGGGGCCGTTTTGGGCGTCTTGGGCCGATCGTGCGGGGATTCGAGCTCGTCTTGGGCCCCTCTCGGCCCCGAAAAAGTAATGCAACAACATTCCTGGAGCCCCAGAGGTCACGCGACAAGCCCAACAAGATTTGTAAGTCTGAGGTCCGGGACAAAATCGTCAGGATGGAGGACTGAGGCGCCAGGAGATTAGGCAAGGGACCAGAGGGCATTCCATCTCGTCAAGGGCACGGTGGCGGAGAGACATACACATGTGTAGACATATAAATACATACATAGACACATATGTCACACACACTTTCCCCAAGCAGAGCTTGCACTTAGGGGTTATCACTGCTGTTCTAAGGATTTGGGCAATGTCTTCAGTCTTGCGGCTATGTTGCCGCCGTTGTAGCCCGTCGCCGCCTCGTCCCCGCGTCTGTCGTCTGTGCCGTGTTTTCGGTCTGGCGGCTACGTGGCCGCCGTCGCCGCCTCGTCTCCACCTTGGATTGCACAACGTCGGCTCCCTCGTCAAAAATATATCCGAATCTCCACCCACCAGGGGCAACGAGCCACCACTTCGTAGTGTAGTATACATGCGATGTTGCCCCATCGTCCATCCGAAGCTTGAATTTACACCATCCCAGGGAGGACGGTATCGTGTTCCCCCCTTTCATCCTTCGCAAAAAGTGCTATGCGCGCACATTCGTTTATCAAAAGTTCATGTTGACAAGAATCCGTTTTGCAAGCACATAAGAAAATATTACGACGTGCACACGCGCGTGTCGTCGCGCGCGCATGCCGAAGTCGATCGAAAACCTTAGGTTCCGTACGTCATTTATATATATAATATATATATATATAATAACAAAAGAAAAAAAAAAAAAAAAAAAAAAAAAAAAAAAAAAAAAAAAAAAAAAAAAAAAACGAGACTCACGAAAACATGTGAGAACACGCGGTCTCGCAACAATGATGTTCAAAAAAAAAAAAAAAAAAAAAAAAAAAAACTTACGCCCGCGGCCATGCAAGTTCTTAAGAAACCGCTGTTTTGTTTTCAAGATGTTCACAACATGCTACCAATCTGGCTTCGCGCGCGCGCATGACGACATCGCTCGAACGCCCTTGCGCGCGTGCTGTGCTGTCGCAAGAATCTGTCTTGCAGAAAATTTAACGACGTGCACACACGCGCGCGCCGTCGCGCGCAAGCCGAAATCTTTCAAAAACCGCACGCATCGTAAGGATGTCAAAAACAAGTGTCCGAATAAGAACAGATGGCTGTGAATCATCAGTGCTCAAAGAAGGCAGCGCTCGTGGTCTTGCGGATTATTAAGGACACCGTCGGGTTTCAACATGTTCAACGGGCCTCTCGCGCCGCATTTCGCACTCATTCGAAGGCCTTTGCGCGCGTCCTGGGGGGGAGCACGATCCATGTCAGATAATACCACGCGGGCCACTCGCGCGCGTCGGCCGCGCGCCCACGTCGAACTTCTTCCAAAAACTTGCATTGCCGACGCGAGGACATCGTTATCGGCGGGTGCGGCCAACATGCCGTCGTCATCACCGCCATCGCCACGGGCTCGCCACCCGCGTCTACCGTCGTCAGCGTCGCCATGATACCGCGCCCGTCCAAGTCACCGACTCGCACGGAAGCGCCCAGAGGTTAGCGCCGCCGCGGCCGCGTCGGCCGCGCCAAACTAGCCGGCCGCTGCACGCACGAGCACGCGGGGGATAGCGCGGCCGCGGAGATACACCAGCCAACGCCAAGCACTCATCGCAGTCGCCGCCGCATTGGTTCTACAAACCACGTTGCGCGCGGGCGGGATGCTCTTGCAAAGCATAGACAGGGCCGCAAAAGTTGACACCGCATAGATTCTCCTTTCTAAAACAGCATTCGGATCTACCCCCCCCCCCCCCTTGGATCTAACCGCCCCCGTAACTTCGCATTACAATGTGCACCTGATTCTGTCCCATCGCCCATTCTGAATACCAGCTCGTACCACCCCAGGCAGGCCGGCAAAGCCCCCCCTAATCCTTTGCAACAATATAGCGCGCGCACATTCGATTATGAGAAATCATGAATGCCCAAGAACATTTGGCAAAATCACGAGACGAAGTGCACGCGCGCGCGTCGTCGCGCGCATACCGAAATTCTGTCTGAAGATATCCCAGGCGTCGCTAGGGTGTCAAAATCGATTTCCCCGGAAAATAACAAAAACATGGTGTAGCAACGAGAATGCTCGGGAGAATCACGCGCCCGGGCCATTGCGACCCCTCGGGAAAACGGTCGGCGTTCCAACATCTCCCATTACTTGCCACCAAAAAAAACACCTCGCGCGCCCACGACGGAATCGGTCGAACTCTTGCGCGCGCGCGATATCGCAAGAATCGCTCGCGCGAAAGGGGCGAAGTGCACGCGTGCGAATCGCCGCACGCGCGCGCCAAGCCCCTTCAAAAATTGTTGCCTCTTAAGGAGTTCACAATGGAGTGCCCCGAAAACTTGAACACGCGCAAAACACATTATCAGCAACATCGGGCATCCAGAACGCTCTCGCGCTCTTGCGAATTTTCAAGAAAGCCTTAGGTTTCAAGCATTTGCGCTTAATCCGGCCGAATGCGCCTTCGGCGCCGCATGTCGGCACCATTCGACCGCCCGCGCGCGCGCGTTGGGGGGGGGCGCGACCCTCGTCGAAGAACGCCTCGCGGGCCACCCGCGCGTCGGCCGCGAGTGCGCCGCCATTGTCGTCGGCGCGTTCAAAACCGGCGCCGTCGCTGGCCTAGCCACCGCCGTGGCCGTCACCGCCGCCAGCGTCGCAACTGTCAGCGTCGTGCCCCCCGCCGTCGCCGCCGCCACGGAACCGCGCCCGCGCGCGCAGCCGACTCGCACCGGAGCGCCCGCCAGGAAGCGTCCGGAGGTCAGCGCCGCCGCGGCCGGGTCGGTCACGCAAGACCAGCAGGCCGCCGCGCGCGCGCGCGGGCCGGCGCCGCCGCGGAGATGCACCGGCCAACGCGAAGCACTCATCGCAATGGCCGGCGCATGCGCACGGCAGGACAAGTCCCGGGCGGGCGGGGCGATTGCGCGGGCAGCGGAGTTGACAACTGCGAGCGCCACAACTGAATTCACCAGTCTCAAAAACAACTGGGACCGACCCCCCCCCGCATTGATCCGCCCCCCTTCTTTCGCATTGCAATTCACATGCGATCACGCCCCATTGTCTATCTTAGACATGAACTCGCACCACCCCGGCCAGGCCGACATCGACCCACTCCCCGCCAGCCTTTTGGAAAAAATGGCTACGCGCGCCCACTGGTCCATCTCGAAGCATAAGTTTTCAAGAACCCCTGGCTAGAAATAAAGGACGAACTGCACGCGCGCGTGCCGTCGCGCGCGCACGCCAAAATCTTTCAGACAAAACTTCAGTTTTCGCGAGGACGTCAAAATCGAGCGCCCCGAAAACACACGCGCGCAAAGACACGCGGTTTCACAACGAGGGTCTGTTATCACTTGAACGGAGAATTGCGATCGCACTCTTGCGAATTCTCGAGCAAGCATAGGCTTTTCAACATGTTCATAGAGTCCAGCCAAACGGGCCTCTCGCGCCGCATGCCGACACCATTCGGACGCCCTTGCGCGCGTGCTGGCTGGCGGCACGATCCGTTTCACACATTGCCCCGCAGGCCACGTTCGCGCGCCGACCGCGCGCGCCTGTCGAACTTCTCCGAAAACCTCCATCGCCGACGCGAGGGCTCCGCCATCGTCGTCGGCGCGATCAGCATCGGCGCCGCCACTGGCCGCGCCGTCGTCGCTGCAAACATCGCCACCAGCATCGCCACTATCATCGCGGCGT